TTAAATAATTTATTTAATGATTTAAATAGTTTCTAATTTATTATCTACTTTCAAAATTTTGTTTATTTCCTTTAAAATTTCAGACTCATTATTATTATTATTATTATTAACATTATTATTATTAGTTTTTCCATTATTTGTTGCATTTTTTTATTCTAAAAGACATGATTTAAACATAAAATTGTCTGATTTTTTTACATATATTTATTAGTTTTTTAAAAGTATAAACTCCTTCATAATTTCTTTTAACCATTTCCAAATTTACTTAAGGTTAGGTGCTTATTAAGTACCATTTTCTTATGAAGGATTACAGTTATTGACCATATCGAAGATACAATTTATAAATTTTTCGGTTTATTTTATTTTCGTTTTCACTTATTTTACTTTTAAAATTGCCTACTCATAATTTGGAGTTTCAAGTTCTTTTAAAACTTCTTGTGCATTTTTGTTTTGTTCTGCATTTAATTATTTTAATTAAATATTTTCGTTTTCTAAAAATTATATTTTTTTTTTAAATAATCGATTTTAGACTTGTTTTTCTCTTCTATTATTAATAATTAATTTTGAAAATCGTAATTAAGATTGTTTAAATTTTAAGGTAATTACTAATTATTTTATTAGTATAAAATATTTAATTATTATTATTATTATTATTATTATTATTATTATTATTATTATTATTATTATTATTTTTATAAAGGAAATTGTTATTATAATTATTGCTTAGATTAATGTTTTAATTACTATTTATTTGCACTGTTACCCTATTATTATCCGTCTTCTAAAATTTAAGTTTCAGGTTCTATATTATAATAAGTTATTAACTTCTGTTCTTTTTATAACATTTACTATTAAATTTATTATTTTTCGTTTTCTAATTCTTATAATAAATTCAATTTTTATTCATTACTAAGTGCTAATGGTTACTCAATAGTTTCTATAAGGCTTATGTTTTCTACAGTTTTGAGCTTTTATAAATCTTTTTTTGATTTATCATAGGCTTCTTATAATTCTTGTTTAAATTATTGCATTTTTAAAAGTAATTATTATTTTTCAATTTTATTTATTTATTTTTGTTGATTATTTAAATCTTCCTATTCTAAATTTTTCTCATTTTTTGTTCCACTAGATTATAAAAATGTAAAGCTTTCGGAATTTTTTATTTAAAATATTTCTTTTTATTCATTTTTCTAATCCATTTTTTTTTAATTTATTTTAAAAATAAAGAAATATTGTATTTTTTTTTTATTATATGCATATATATATTTATATTTTTTTTTAAAAAAAAAAGTAATAGTATATATTATATTTTAATATTAAATAAAATAAATTGTTTAAAATATAAATAGTTATTGTATATTTGTTTAATATTTTTATTTGTTTATTATTTAAATATATTTTTATATTTCAAATAATAAAAATATAATTTAATATAAATATAAAATTCATTTTGTAAGAAAAAATTATTTTCTTTAAATTTTAATTTATTATAATTTTTAATAAATAAAAAATATAAAAAAATAATAATAATTAATATTATTAACTTATTAAAAAAATATTGTTATATAATATATTTTTAAATTTAAATTATATTTTTGTAAAAATCTTTTTTAATTTAAATTAATGTTAAATTATTTTTAAATTTTAATATTTTTTAAATTTAAATATAAATTATATTTTTAATATAGAAAAATGAAAACAAAAATATTTTTAAAATTTGATTTCTTACATTTGATATTATTAATTTATATATTTTACTAAATTTATATAAAGTTTAAATTTATTTTATTACATTTTTATATAAAGATTTTTTATTTTATTTTTCCCTAAAATATATTAGATTAATAATTTTTATTTTTTTAATTGTAATAAGAAAAATAAAAACAAATTAAAAAAGCTTATCTATATTAAATAAAACGAGTTTAATAGAATTCTCAAATAAAAAATTAATATAACCTTTAAATTAATACTTAACAATTTTAAGTTTATAAATATATATTTGAAAAAAAATCGTTGTAATATTATTATTTTAATTTTAGTCTTTTAATAAGATAATAACTTTTGAATATCTATTAATAATTAAGTTTGTAATATGTAAATTAATATAAATAGTTAAATACATTATACTATTAAAACGATAAATTATAAAGTTAATAAACTTTTAAATAAAAATAGAGTTATTTAAACATATTCAATAAAAAAATATAATTTCAGTAAAAAAAAAATAACTTTAGATTGAATATTTAATATATTTATTTATCTCATTCTATATTAGTATTTTTAATTTATGTTGTTATAGAGTTATTAAAATTATTTCTATTATTAAAAATATAATTAACTATATAAAAGTATTAATAGATATATATTTTTTTTATATTTTCTTAAATTTATTTATTTTCGAAATTATATATACTACATTTATTTATATTTTTATTTTAATAATTCTTATTATGTGTGTGCTCTTGTTTTTGTGACATATACAGGACACAACTCTGTATAATGAAATGGGTATGACACAGGTATTAAAAGGATAGAGGGCAATATTTTTTCATATTAAATATTTTAATATATATTCATATTTCTTTTTTATATTTTTTTATTCTAATATTTAAGAACTGTATTCTTATTTTTATTTCATATAAATTATTTGAAAATAGCTTAATTTTTATATTATTTTATTATTAATTAAAAAAAAACTGAATATTTAAGACTTTATATTAATTTATATTTCCTTTTTCTTTTTTAGTTTTTTTTGTTTAAAAAAGAAAAACCTAAATATTAATATATATATATATGCGAATAATAATTATTTTTTACATTATTAATTTATAAATTATTATTATTATTAAAATCATTATATATACTTTAATTTAAATCGTATTCATATAAATATTCTGCTTCTTATATTTTTTCATTAATTATTTTTCTATTTTATAGAATATAATAATTATGGGCTATATTTTTTCTTTTGATTTTTTCTTATTCTGATTTAATTAATTATTAAGAACTATTTCAGGATAACTTATTAATATATAATTACAATTATACTTTATCTTCTTTTAACTATATTTTTTAAATAAAGCTATTTTTTGGATAATACTTTACTTTTTCTGATTCAAAATTATTATTGAATATTTGACTTTAATTATAATTATTTTAATATAAATAAGAGATTTTTTAAATTTATTAATTGTATCGTTTTCTACTTTATTTTTATTAAAAATTTATTATTAATAAATTCTACTTTCCTTTAAAGAAGATATAAATTTTATATTTATTCTTTTATTAAATTTGGAGTTTATATTTGATTTATATTTTTAAATTGTTTATTTATCAAGAATTATCATAAAAAACTATATTTCAAGCTTTTACTCGACTACTAGAATTTCTAAATAAACTATTTATTATTTTAAATATAAATATATTATTTAAAAATAAAAAATTAATATTTTATTTTATATTAATATTTCACTTTTTTAAATAAAATAAAATTTTTATAATTTATATTTTATATTAATAATTATTAAATAAATAAATTAAAAAAAAAAATATATATATTTTATAAAAATAAAAAAAAATTATTATTTATTTTATTTTATTTATATATTTTTTGTTTTGATTAAGTAAAGTATTAATAAAAATCTTTGTTTTATTTATGTTTCAATTATTTATATAATGTTTTATATTAAAAATCAAATATATTAGAACAAACATTAAAATTTTTGACATAATTTTTAAAAATCACTTATATATAAGAGAAAAATTATTATAAGAATTATTTATTGTGTCTAAAAAAGCAATTATCTAATTATTAAAAAGAAGAATATATTTTATAAAATAATTTTATTTATATTATACGTGATAATAAATATATTTGTTAAAAAATATATATTTTATATGGATTGTAAAAATTTGTAACTATATTTTTATTATTTGAGGAAGTAAACCATTAAAAATTTTAACAATTATAAAAAAATTAAATTTTTATATAAATAATTCTTTGTATTCTAATAATTATTAAATTAGATAAGGTTATATATATTATATATAAGAAAAAAAAAATAAATAAAATAAAAAAATAAAAATAAAAAAAATTAAATAAAATAGAAATAAGGAAAAATAAAAGAAAATCAAAAATAAAGAGATAAAAATAATAAATAAAATATAAAAAAATAAATATTTATATAATTATTAATATTAATAAAATAAAAAGGAAAAAATAATAATAAATATATTAGAAATATATAAATAAATGTATAAAAATATAAATAAATAAAAGTATATATTTATATATATATATTTATATATTTATATATTTTTATATTTTTATATTTTTATATTTTTATATTTTTATATTTTTATATTTATGTATTATTAATTCATATATTTTTTATAAATTTCAATTATATATATTTTTTATTTATATCATAAATTTATAAATCTTTTTAAAATTACTCTTAATCCCTCCTTATTCTATTTTTACACATATTTTAATAAAATACCTGTTAGGCAAATTCCAAATATAAACTTAGCTAATGCATCTTATCTTATATTTGTATATCTAAACAAAAATCTAAGTATATTTTATTTTTAACCAGTATATGGCGGAAATCTTGCTGAAAATGGGAAAAAATTAATATTATCTTTCACAAAAACTGGTTTTTAATGTGAAAAAGTATTAAAACCAGTAATTCCTCTACATTAGCCTTAACCACTATAACCAACACCTCCAAAAGGTAAATAAGTATTAGAAAGTTATAAGGCTATTTCATTAACTATAAAAGAACCTGAACTTGTACTTTCATTTACAAGATTTTAATTTTTACTCCCAAAATAATATAAAGTTAATGGCTTTTCCCTAATATTAATAAAATTTATCACTTCATTAATATCCTTGAAAGTCAATACAGGCATAATTGGTCCGAAAATTTCTTCTTTCATAACTTTCGAACTTAAAACCGGTTATAAAATAATAGTTGGTGCTAAATATTTTTTTCTACATCATATTACCCTCCATAAACTATTTCTCCTTAATGATCTTCTATTTTAATCATCTAAACAAGCCTCTATGTATGCTAAACAGACAAAATCCTACTATAATCATCCGACATTAGGGCATTATCTCCGAAAAAGCTCTTTAATTTCTCCCCGAATTTTTTCATTAAAACCTCCTTAACACTCTCATGTACAAAAACATAATCCGCAGCAATGCAAGTCTAACCACAATTGATAAATTTTCCTTAAATTATCCTCAAAGCCGCACTTTCTAAATTAGCATCCTAATCTACAATAGTAGGGTTTTTCCCCCCTAATTCCAATATACATGGGACCAAATTTTCTGCAGCAGCTTTCGAAACAAGTTTTCCTTTTTCCGGACTTCCTGTAAACATAATTAAATCCCATTTTAAACAAGTTAATTTACTCGATAGTAAATAATCTCCTTCTATGCATTTATAACATTCTTAATCTGTGTATTTCTCGATTAATTTTTTTATAGTCTTTGATGTGTTTTCTGATAGTTCAGAAGGTTTTAACAATATAGTGTTTCCAGCACATAATGCCTAAGCGAAATAAGGCAGGCAAGTATATAAAGGATAATTCCAAGCACCCATAATTAACACTACACCATATGGTTCTGGTTTTATGTATGTTTTTCCAGGACCAGAAAGTAGTGTGGTATCTAAAGGGCGCGATAATACCCAATTATTTATATTTTAAAGACATTCTTCGATTTCTAATTTTGTGAGATTGTATTGGTATAAAAATGAATTAAATTCGTTCATGCCTAAGTCTTTTTAATTGAATTATGAAATTCTGGCTCTAAATCTATTAAACCTTGTAATAGATTGCGGAGTTATTATTTACGATAGGCGATTGGACGAGTTTTTTATGTGTAAAATTGTTTCCGTAGTTGAAAGAGGATTTCTTCCGGTTATTGGTCTAGTAGGGTTTATTGCATTTTTTTCTTTTTTAATTTTTTTTAATTTTTTAAATTTTTATAATTTATGGAGAAAAATATTAATTAATATATTAATTATTATTTATATTTATATCTTAATTTATATATTTTAAATTATGTTTTTAATCAATTATATATATTATTAGAATATTATAATTATTATATTAAGTGTTTATCTTAAAATGAATTTTTAAAATATATTTAATTCATTATTGTATAAATATAATTCAAGTTCAAAGTTATTTCTATTAATTAATAAATAATTTATATTATATTTTTTAATTTTTAATATAATTTTGTATTAATTATAAACCTTTTTGTAGTTAAGAAAGTAATTCTTTACAAATGATATCTTATAAAAATAGTAAAGAATTAATTAATTTTTAAGCCTCTTTTAATTTTAAAAAAATAAATTCTATATCTTTTAATGTGTTCTTAAAATTTAATTAGTAATAAAATAGTTTAAGATTACAATAAATAACTAATTAAACCTTTATTTATAATTAGAATTAAGTAGATAAAAAAAATAAATCTTATTAATGTATATCTTATTTTATATCTTTTAATTAGGTTAAAAAATCATCTAATAAAAAATTCATCATTTTAAAAACAGAATATAAAGTTTACTATAATGTAAATAAGTATATATATAAATATATATATAATATATATATATATATAATTTTAACTTTTCTGTATTAGAATTATCATTTTAACTAAAAATATACTTTTATTAATAATTTTTTAATTATTAAAATACATAATTTAAACTTAAATTCTTAAATATTTATATTTTTTAATATTTATATTTTTATATATTTAAAATTTATTTTAATACTTTTGTGAATTCATTATAAAATTAAAAATTTTAGAAAATTATTTAAAGAGTAAATACTTCTTTTTAATTTTTTTTTTTATTTATTACTATTTTAAGAAAGCATATCATATTAAAATTTAAAATTAAATAGAACTAAAATATTAAATAAAGAAAGAAAATTAAAATTAAATTTAAAATAAAACTTATTTAAATTATTCCATTTTTTAAAAAAATAAATCCAAAAAAAAACAAAAAGTAATAATTCTAATAATTATCAAATAATTCAATAATTGATTATTTAAATATTTATGAAAAATTTAAATATTTACTTACAAATATAATTTTTTATTTCATAATTTCATTTTATAAACTTAAGAAATTAAAAATTGATAAAAGAGAAAAAGTATTAATTAAAAATTAAGAATTAAATAACCTTAAAATAATTAATAAATATATATATATATATATTTATAAATATATAAATATTTTTTAATTTTTATATATACATATTTAATATTATTATATTTATATTTTTACTCTTCTTTTTATTTTATTTTAAGGTATTCATTAAATATAAAATTATATAGCTTTTACTATACAATAAATTAGAATGTTATAAATATATATTAAATAGCTTTAATTCTTAATATTTAGTTTGTTTTACCGTAAATATTTTTATAAATAAAATTCATAGATTGTATTATTAAAATACTTTTTATATAAAATAATTAAACCAAAACACTAAATAACTTTAATTTTTTGAATATAATAATATTGATTATTATACTAAAAAAGAAAAAGAAAAATAATAAAGTATATATTTATTAAATTTTTTATATTAAAAAGCTTCTTTTATAATCTTTTTCTATTTATTCCAATCGAATCTTTGGTTATTATAAATTACTTTCGTATAAAATAGTATCTTTATCTGTGAGATTAAAAATATTCACGTTTCTTTTCTTTAAAAAATCTATATTTAAAAGTTAGTTAAAGTTATTTTTTAGTTAATTGTTTTGATTAGAATTTAAAATATTTTTTTTTTCAGATTTCTTCTCTTAGGACTATAATTATAATTTCAAATAATTATAGTATTTTTTTTCAAAATTATTTATCATATTTTTTAATTTTTTATAAAATTCTTAAAAAACTAAATATTTAGAAACCTTAAATTCTAAAAAATATATTTAAAAAAAAAAATTCAAAATATTTAATTCACAAAAATAAATATTTATATAAAAAAAAATAGACAAAACTCTTTTATATAAAAAATAATATATTTAAATTTTGATTTAATTAATTTAAATAAAAATAAAATTATTGTATATATAAAAATTTTAAACCTCATATGTAACAAATCAACTAACAACAGTAATAAAAATCAAGCTAACCCCAATTTAATAAAGACGAGGAAATATCAAAAATAATAAACATTTACTTTCAATCCCAAAACCCTTCATCCCTAATAGAATAGACAATCAAAAGTCGATAAGAATATATCCAAAACATCCAAAAAGCTAACCAAAGTTAAGACAAAAAGCATTTATTATTCGTCTAAACCGATTCTTTTTTCAATAAAGAATTTCCTGACCAAGAAATTTCGCGTTCCGAAATTTTATATAAGCTAATCCACGAATAAAAATATACATTAAACAGTAATACTAAGACCTACCCTGATGTATTAGAAGATGGATATAAGGAAGTTTTGAGAGTAAATTTAGATAAAACTGACATCCGAGACGCGTTAAAAAAATGGTACTAATATAGACTAGAAATGGCCTTTTCATTAAGAAATTAAGTCCAGAGGGAATATTTTATTATTGGAAAAGAGTAAAACTCATAATTAATATTATAAAAAATCGAAAAAATAATAATTTAAATAGAAGATATATTAAGAAATTTGGATTCTGAGAAATTCTTTTAGTCCACAAAAGATTATACATAGAAATATTTACCTGAACTTTCGGTAGTTTCATCCCAAAATGTAATTATAGAAGAAAAAATACCTAAAAAACTTGAAAATTTTACCTATTTGAGTGATTATTAATACATTTAAATATATAACGAATTTTAAAACCAACATTTTTGTGGTAGAAAAGTGAAAAAACTACGAATAATGTCTGATTTTTTAATATATTAAATCCATTTATAATCTTTTTTTTCTTAATAAAAAAACAATGATTAAATTTAAACTGATGAAGATAATAATATATTTGAAATTCCATCTTCGAAAGAAAAGTTGGAAATTTTAGTTTCAGAACTAGCTTTATAAAACGATATAAAAGAAGATATCAAAATTGATTATGGATAAGCTTTAATGTTCTCTATAGATAAAAAATTCGACGCCCAAATTTAATAAGGGAGCGAATATTTTAGAAAGGAAGACGAGGAAAAAATCCCGGAAAAAACAAAGGATAAACTAACAGCTAAAGAAGTCAAAGAATAAATGAAAATTCTACAGAAAGAAAGTAAGGAAGAAAACGAAATCGAAAATAAAAAAAACATTTCTATATTATAAATAGTCAAGAATGGATTTTTTAAATTTAAATTCTGGCTTAAAAAAACGTTAATGAAAGGGAATAAGAAAGTGTTTTCAATTTATATTAAGATACTATTATTTAAGGTTGGTTAGCCTTTTTACATGAAAATAATAAATAAGTAATAGCTTCAAGGTTCTAGAAGGAAATTAGTGTATTAAAAGATAGAGTTTAGTCCATTTTTAAGTGTTAATTTGATGATGTTTATTATTAGTTTTATAGTAGATATTTAAAATTGTTGTTTTTAAAATCGAAAAAATCAATAAGGAAAATTATTAATGTATTAAATTATTTCCGGTTTGTTTAAAAACATATTAATTTATAAGAAAATACTAATTTAATAAAAAAAAAAAATCTAAACTAGAACGAAATTGTTAAAACAACAAATCCATCTATATCTCATGAAAATATGTAAATAATAAAAAATTAAAATGAAAACAATTCATAAAAAAACGAAAATAATTCTTAAAAAAACGAAAATAATTCTTAAAAAAAGGAAAATAATTCATAAAAAAACGAAAGTAATTCTTAAAAAAAGGAAAATATTTCCTAAAAAAATCTAAATAATTCCTAAAAAAATGAAAATAATAAAAACTTTCTAAAAGAAGAAAAAGTAGTTTTTTTAAAAGATTTTACATATGAAATATATGAAGGTGATTAAAAAATAATATACGAATGCGTATTTTCTGATTTCGAAGAAATATAGAATCGAATAAGTTAAATATGTTCGTTTTTATTATATTTTTAAATAAAGCACGACTTAAGTTAAAAAGATAAAAAAGAAAGGTCAATTTTTAAAGAAAAATTCGATAAAGAAAAACTAATATGTGAAGTTTTAGAAAAAGAAGCCTTTTTTTATACTGAAAAGGCTAAAGCAGTACGTTATTTGAAAGAAATTTTAAAAAATATATATATGAAAGAATTAAAAGACCAAATAATTAATTTAATAACCATAATAATGTCCAAAAGACCTCGTTTTAATATTTTTAAATAAGAAATTTTCGCTTTTTATAATTTAGAAATTAATAATTTAAATCTTTTTAATTAAATAATTAAACTTTTGAAAGATGATATTGAAAAAGAGGAAAATAATGTTCGCTAATTTATTTAAAAAATAAATGAAAAAAATATTAACTTTTAATAATAATAATAACAAAATTGCATCGATTAAATAATTTAACTATTTTAATAATAAAAAATGTATTCATACTAATCCACATTTGCTAAATTATACATAAATATCAATAATAACTTAACTAAAATAGGTGATATGATTCAAAATAGCAGTACAGAATGTCGAACAGCAGTCCTTTTGCAAATTATGGAAAGCGAAAATGAATATTTAGCCCTTCTTTTGAAAAAAGCTAAATAATTAATATATGAAGGTGAAGGAATTAATATAATAAAGAACTTTAATGAAATATTTTCCCAAGATGACATATTAGACAAGCCTTATAATTACGAATGTGTATATAATAAATTAATAAATGAAAATAATAATAATATAAATTAAAATAATAATAATACTTTATAATATTTAGAATTCACTAAAATAAGAAATAAAATAAACAATTACCTTTCTGGTATAGCTTATTTATTTTCCATATATAAGAATCAATAAATATAATGCAAAATATAAACTAATTTAAATTAAAATAATATTATATACTTAAAGGATTTTCTAGGAAACGAATTTGTAAAAGATATTAAAAAAGTCAGTTCTAATTGGGAAATTTATATAAAAAATACAAATTCTTTCACTGAACTTATCTAAATTTTAGAAACATTAATTTTAGTTTAATAAGGCATATTAAATATAGTTATTTTGAATAATTTTTTGATTAATAATTTATAAAAAAACCTATTTTTTATCAATAGCAATCCTTAAAAATAAGCAAAAAAATTCTTTTAAAGTTCAACTAAAATATCTGCATTTATGAACGACATTCCTTAATTAAAAAAGGAAGTATAATTTGACGGAATGAAAATACAAACTATATTATTAAGGAATTAACTAGCTTTTTTTTCCCAAAAATTGCCTTTTTAAGAAAAACTAATATAATTAGATACCTAAGGTTTTTTTGATACATTCAATAACGTCTAAAATATTTTCAATATTCCCGAAATCACAGAAATTTTATTAATGTAACACGAAGATTTCGATGAACTAATGAATACATACACTAAAAAAGTCTAAAAAGATCACAGTACCTAAATAAGTATACACAATATCCAAAACTACGAAGAAGAGGAAAAAAACTACGAAAAAACACATATGTCAGGTGGATAAGAATGGCTTAAAGCTCAAAAAATAAAACAAAAGGAATAAAAATGCCTTCTCATACCTAATAAATTTATTTAAATGAATAAAGGAAATATTACCTTAAAAGGATTTAGAAAACGCAATTTTTTCTAACATGAAGAAAGCCTAGTTTTTTTAAGAAAATCACCGCTTTTTGTCATGTGGAAAGTCTTCGAATTATCCATAAATATACTCCAATTGTAGACTTTCGAAAGTAGTCTAGAAGCTGTATGTGCTGATATGTTATATTTCTCAAATGGACAATTAGGAAACTAGAAATGCGCAATAATAAACGATATAAACTAACAATCATTTCCTCTAGATAATAATAATTAATAATAATAAAAAGAATGTTTAAATAATTCTAATAGTATAATCTAAAAAATACCTACTTTTAAAAGAAATGAATTAAGATTAAGAAGAGATATAGATAGTTTAACTAGTTTAATATAAAAAATAGAAAAAAACATACTAAATATTCGATAGAATAGTAATATAACAGACTCCAATGAGGCTGTAGTGAGTTATTTAGAAAAACTCTAAAATCGGCTTTTTTCAAATAATCTATTATTATTGATTAAATAAGTCAATATTTCAAGACTTAAAAAGGATGATATTTTTCTTGGTCATCTATAAAATTTACTTATAAATATACATTTTCCATAAATTTAAAATTTTTATAAAAATGGAATTTATTATTAATAATCAAATAACAATAATATATCACCTTTAATGTAATTTATTTAGAATATATTTAATGATAATAGGGGACTTTTTATTCACACAAAACCACATTCTACTCCTTCTTTATTATCACCAGATGGCCACTTTTTCAATAATAATATGCGATTTGTAGAGTTTCTGGACAAAAGTCTTGTCGGAATCCAATAATCTCGAATAACGGAACTCTCAGTATGTAAAAACAGCATATTGAATTTCATAAATGGATTTTTAAGGAAAAATTTTGTCTTTGAATAGTACGATTTATTCAAATACGAGCGTATGTACACTAAAATAATAAACATAAACATCCGAGCTTACATTATAAACGAAATAATATATACTTGGACTTAAAAAATATGTCCTTTTTCGACTTGTAAACTACTAAAAGATTTGGAATTTTCGAATTTTTTAATAAAAAAAACGGAAGAATAGCATGAAAATTTTATATTAGAAAATCTTACTTTTAACGCTTTTTTTTTATAAAACCTTTTTTTTTAAGAAGCCTTATTTTTTTATTAAAAACATAATGAGTCTTTTTTTCAACAAAAATAATAAAAACTATAAATTATAAATTTTTTGCCTAAACTATAGCTTTTTTCGCATAATATATTCTCTACCAGTAGTAAAATATATACTGTGGATAAGAAAAAAGCCATAGTAATGTCTAAAAAAGACATAATTTAATTCCTTTATTAATTCACATGCGATTTAATAGCCCTTACAGAAGATAAATATTAAAAAATCCTCCAAAAAATAACCTCTTAGACTCTAAACTTTGAATAAACCTATTAAAAAATGCAATAAGAGAACATGCTATAGGCTAAAAAATTACATTTTATCCATTATTTTTTTATAGATTAAATATTCTAGGCTGAAATGGTCTAAAAAAACCGAAAAATAATTTTTGAAACTCTCCGTTTAAAATAAAAGGCTGAATATTTACAAGACCATAAATAATTTGATGAAATTCGCTAAAAAAAGGAACTAAATAAATACATTGCAGAATAAATAAATTAAATGATAATACACCAAAGCCACCAATAAACTAAATTTGAGGAATTCAAAAATAGCCAAAAATAATCATTCTAATAAATAATAGATTAATTCAAGGAAAATAATCTTAAATAAATCAAAGATATAGTAGGAAAAGTACTCCCTTAAAGTGTACATTAAATTGATGTAGTATGGAAATAAGCTAATTTTTTTGAAGAAAATTAAATAGATAATCCATTTGAAAAAGTACAGTTGAAAAATGATAAGGCTAAATATATTTTCTAAGGATTTGTTAAGATTAGAATTTATGAAAATATAAAGGCAAATATTTTAATAGAAAATTTTAAAAATAAAATTAATGATATAAATGAAAATAACTCATCTAATGAAAAAATTTTACAGGAAAAATAAGAAATGTAAAAATAATTTGAAAATATTAAAGATTAACTAATAGCTTAAAAAAAATACTTGGTTCAGGCAGAACATTAAAATTAAATACTTAGCAGAAACGTAAATAGATTTATAAAAATAAAAAAAGATTTTATTTATTAATAAAATAAAAAATAAAAAAAAATCTGTAGTTTATAAACAAAAATAAATAATTGATTTTTATTTTTTTCATTATAAATAAAATAAAATTAAATAATTTATATTAATTAAATATATAATAATAAGTTATATATTAATAAAAATAAATATATAAAATTATATATATTAAAAAAAATAAGTATATATAAATATGTATAAATTTATATATATATAAATATTAATATAAATATATATATTTATAAAAATATAATTATACATTTATGAATTTATATAAAAATTAATATTATATAAATATATAATATTAAATTATATTTTTAAATTAATATATATATATTTATACAAATTTCAATTTATATATGTATATATATTATTATTTTTATTTTCATTTTTAATTTTATTTCTTTTTTTATTTTTCTCATTTATTATTTATATTTTTTTTTTTAGACACAAAGTTTTTTTTTTTTATTATATTTTTCTTTATTTTTATTTTTATACTTTTTATTTTTCTACTTTAAGATAATTTTTTTTTTTTTATAATTTTTACATTCTTAATTATTCTCAAATTTATTTTTTATATTTGTATTTAAAATTAATTTTTTTTTATTTTTATTTCATTTTTTTTCTAATACAATTTATTTATTCTGAACTAAAAGAAATAAAATAAAATTAATTTTATTATTTAAATCAATTAATTTAATTTTCTTATAAGTATGAGTATCTTTTAATAAGCAGGAATTCTATAAATAGCCTGATATAAAATTTAATTTAATTCCTTTATAATTTTTTTTTTAATAGTTTATTATATTTATAGCATGTCAATATTATCTTAAATTTTCCTTCCATAATTGCTATAAAATAATTTATTCTGTGAATTTTTAGTTTTATTAAAATTTTAATTTTATAACTATTCTTTCTTTCATATCATTATATTATTTTAAATAATAAATCATAATTTTTTCTAATTTTTTTATTTTATTAATTTAAAAATAGATATTTATCATAAAATCATAATTCATATAAGAAATTTAAAATATTAATATTTATATATTTTAAATTAAAATTCAAAGAACTACCTTATTAAGAGAAAGATTAAGTAAATTCATTACACATTTAATTTATTTTCTAAAAAAAAAATTCTTATTTTTATTATTTAATATTAAAAAAAAAAAAAAAGTCTATTAAACTAAAATCTAGTATTTATTATATTTCACTTTAAACCTTCTTAATTTTAACATTCTACATTATATAATTTTTATATATTTAATTTCCAAAAAAAAAATATAAGTCACGACGAGCACATTATGGTATTCAACTAAATACATTTTCTTAAAAATATATCAATATTATAATTATGTACGTTATTCTAATGTTCTTTTATATTGCTTAGATAAAAATATAATAATTTCTACTATTTAGCTATATTAGCAAATTTTCTAATTTTTTAAATAGAAGATAATTGTAAAATACTTTTCAAATATAAATATATAAAATATTTAAATAATTATTTTCTTTATTTAATTAAAATTAAAAAGATAATGTTTTTATATATATATAATAAGAGAAATATATTGTATCTCTAATTTTATTTTATTTTAAATATATTTATTTATTCTTTAAATTTATAAACAAAATATAATATATAATGGAAATATTAATAAAACACTAAATATAATGTGAAAATCAAATGTATAATATAACAATATATAAAAACATATAATATATATATTTTATAAAATATAAGATTTATATTTAAATAAATATTTTTAAGTAATTGATATATACATATTCTAAATTTAAATAAATAAATAAAAATGAAGAATTCTAAATGAAAATAATATGTATATATATGATTTATATTTTAAAAATCATTATAATTAATTAATATATAAATAAATAAATACATTTGTCTATGTGTATACTATATACAAGTATATATTTTTTATGAAATTGTTTTATAAATATTTAGTTAGTTATAAAATATTTTTTTTATTTTCTTATATATATATTTATTAATATTTATAAACGTAAATTAAACAAATTAATCATTTATTAAATAATAAATAAATAATTTAAAATATACATATATATATATATATATATATATATATTGCTAAAAAAATATTTATAAAAGATAACTTTATGAACCTTTTTTTCTTGTTAATTCTTTTAATAAACATTTATAAATTTATTTTAACTTAAAATCCATCTGTAAATAATACATTAAAAAGTCTTATAGTATTCCACCGTCACGGTGCCCGTCTTCCCGCTGTTGAAGACTATTATCCCGAAGATTGGACTTCAGATAGGGTTCGTGGTGATTTAACAAATAAAGGTATACAACAATTATTAAAAGTTGGAAAAACTATAAGACGTAAATACGTTGATGAGATGAAATTCTTACCTAAAGTATACGATCCGCTCATATACAAAGTAAAAATAGCACAATTATCTCGTTGTATGTTAAGTTTATTATCCATGTTGAACGGTTTATACCCTGATATATATTAAAGAGAGCACTAAACCCACTAAACATTATTAAACCCAAAAAAAAAGTTAAATTTTTCCACAAATCTAAAAGATCATGAAGAAAGAGATTTAATTTTTAGAGCCTAAAGTTCTAAAAACTGCTAAATAATATCCAAAATATACCACAGAAGAAAAAACGAGGATAAATTCGAATAAATATACAATTTCTTTATATAACATCCAGTAATGAATTCCACATTAACAAAATTATAACATTATAGGGAAAAAAGAAACGGAAAATCATTAAATGTAACAGATATGTATTATATTAAAGAAATATATGATAGTTATTTATGTAATAAAATACAAGGAAATCCAGTCCCTGATTGGAATAAAACTGAAATAAAACTCCTTTAATTAAATTATGAAACTTTCTTTTATAGTTATTTTGGATTTAGGGAAGCTAGGAAGGTTACTTCTAGTAAATTTTTTAAAGAAGCTTTTAATTTTTTTTAAAATAATATTAATTTTCCAAATAATCCTGAAAAGTTATTAATTTTTTCAGGAACAAAAACTAATATTGCTATTATTTTGTCTAATCTATTAATTAAGCATTAAATTATTTCACTTGGAACAGAAAAAATACCACCTTTATCTGCCACTTTGTTTATTGAATTATGGGAAAAAAGCCATTTACCGCATTTACCGCCTGATAATAGGTTCTTTGTAAAATTTTATTATGGGAAAAAAGAACTGGAAATTATGGCCTGTAGAAATAGAAGAAGATGTACGTGGAAAGAATTTAAGATTTTATTTAAAACTAGAATAAAACCTAATCTTGAAGTATTTTGTGATTAAACTTAAGATTGATTTTTTGTATTTCGCTTTGTTTTGTTTTTTTCAATATAAAAAAATTAATTATATTTTTTATAAATTATTTAATTTTTAAAATATATTAAAATAAAATAAAAATTTTTATATGTATACATTAATTTTTTGAAATAAAATAAATAATAAATATAACTCTATATATATATATAAATATATATATATATATATATATGTTTTATATATATATTTTAAAATATTAAACAAAAAATATATTATATATTTTGCTTTATTATATAATGAAATATATAAAATTTTTTATTAAATTATATAAATAAAAAAAATATAATAATTTAATCATTATAAGCGAAATATATATAATAATAAACAATCTTATTAAAATATAAAATAAAATAATATTTACTAGAAAATTAAATTAATATTTCATAAAAACAAAAAATGGGTTAAATTGCATTAAAAGCATAAAAAGTATGTTGTTGTTAAAAAGAATTAACCTAAGAAGATAAAATCCAATAAGAGTATTTACAATATACAAGAATCCAAACTGACCACATATATTTTTTCGAAGAAGCCTGGTTTGCAAAAGAGGACAATCTATTATTTATTCCCGAAAAGTTTATTTTTTTATACAATTCATACGAACAAGATCAAATATAAATGGAAAAAACATGGTCATAAATAGACTTAAGAACCAATATAAAGCACGGAGTTTTAGAAAGGGAAGATAAAAACGAAGTATTGGCTCCAAAATGGAAATATTTAATAAGAAAGTAAATTATTTCATCTTAAAAAAAAATTAAAAAAAATACAAAAAAGAGGAGTCCCTATGCGATTAATGAGACCTATAATACTCGATATATATAAAAGAACATACGCAGATAATAAAGTGGAATTTTAAATAGCTTTAAAAATAGTATTTAAAGACATTATTCCTTAAAAATTTAAATAAAATTATGTTTTTAGTCAAGATAATCGTCCAATAGAAGAAATTGTCAAAATTAATGTACTTAGTAAAGAAGGATATGATTCATTAAAGAGAATATTATGGATTCTAAAAGAAATGTATTATTAAATTGAATATAATCCAATGATTATATAAATAGCGGCTTTACTATTGATTTTTATTAAAGAAGAAGAAGTTTATTGTGTACTTAAATATATGGTGGAAGATTCTATTAAATTATTAACTTAAAACAATTAATAAGTAAATATATAATCTATTTTTTTTTAAATATATAATTAATATAATTATAAATTAAAGGATTAAGATATATAAAGATCATTAAGATGGCATTTTTTAATGAATAAAAATGATTTTGTAAAATTTTAAAATTCTTTTTTTGATACATTGGTTGAAAAAAGTGCTACTTTTAATGAAATTATGAATCATTTTAAAGAAGTTAATTTTGATTATATTGAATATTTTCTAGATATGGTTAATAATTTATTTTATGGGTATTTAAACTTTTCAGCTGTTATAAAATTTTTTATAATGTATTTAAATGAAGGAATGAAAGTTTATTTTAGGTTTATGTATTCTTTGTGTTATTATTTAAAAGACGATATATTAAAAGTAAATTAAAAAAAAAAAAAAATTAAAAAAAAAAGACAAGAGATAGATCAAGAATAAAAAGCATAATAAGAATAAAAGGATTAAATTTAAATTTAAAATAAATAAAATAACTAATATAGGTAAAAAATAATAATATTAAAATAAAAATAAAAAATAAAAAAAAAAAAATTATTAATATTGTAGATATATATATAAAAATATATATAAATATATAGATATAAATATATATATATATATATTTATATATTTATAATTTTATTTTTTTATATATATTTATATAAAGAAAGGTTTTAGTTTAAGATTAAATAAAGTTAACAAATAGAATTAAGGATATAATAATAATTTAAATTAAAAATATGAACATAAAAAAATTTATTATTTACCTCATTTAGATTAATAATCAAATATAATTTCATAAGAATAAGTTAAATTATTAAAAAAAAAATATTTTATTAATTATATAATATTATTAATCTATTATTTTTTTTTTAACTTTATTTTTAATTTCTATTTAATTTTTTAATTACAAATCAATCAATTAAAATATTTTCCATACATATTTTTTTGTTTTTTTGATTGATTTTATTAAGCAAAAATGATTATTTTAAATTATTATATTATAAATATATATTTTTTTAATAATAATTTTAAAAAATAGTTAGAAATCATATGGGATTGGCTTCCTTCATCTTTAAAACTAACAGATCCTATTTAAATATGGTCAACTCATAAAGATGGTTATTCTTTAAATGCTTTATATAAAAAATGTGAGTAATATACTGGTAGACAAATGCTAATTTTCATAAAATCTGATATTAATAATGCAGTTAAATTAAAAATATAATATAGAAATAATTTTTTTTTTTTTTTTTAAACAAAAAAAATTAGATTTTCGGTGTTTTTTGTGACGAAATGTTAAGTTTAGAAAATAAAAAATAATATTATGGAACTAATGATACTTTTGTTTTTTAATTACAACCAAATTAAATGAAATATCATTCTTAAGGTTTAAATACACACTGCTATTCTTGTAAAGATTACTTTTCTTTTGGTGGATCTGATGGGTATATTTTTATTTTTAATTAATAATAAAAAATATACAAATGTTTATTTTTAATAGATTTAGTATAAAGATTGATTAAGAATTCAATTAATGTTATTCATAATAATCTAAAACTTATAATAGCCCTATTTTAACTGGAAGTTAAGATAAATAAGATTTTATTTGTTAAGATTTAGAATTATATACTTTTGAATGATTATTTTTGTATTTATTTATAAATAAATATATACAATTATATATATTGTATTATTTATTATTATAATTAAACTTTATATTTTATATATATTTTTGTTTTTTAAATAAATTAAAAATTAAATTTATAAATTAAAAACAAAACAAAAAACTATTATACATTTTTTATATTATAAATTAATATAAATAAAATAAAAAATAAAATAAATAATATCATAATATAAATACACTTGTATATTAAATATATAAACATATTTTTAATATAATATATATTAATTTCATTACTTATTTAATTATTTTGTTTTTCCTTATAAATAGACATCAAACAAACTTTTATTTGTATTAGTTTCTGCCCCAAGAATATTTAATTTATTTTAATAATCTTAAATTTTATTATTATTATTATCATTAAGTAAAGATTTATTAAGTTAATCATATTTAATTAAAAGCTCAGTTAACTATGCATCTTTCTAGGAAATAATTTATTTAAGATCTTCGATTTAAGTCTTTTACATTTAGTTTTGATTTTAAAAAGATTTTTAAATATTTATAATTTCAAAATTATTAGAATTTTCCAATTTATATTTAATATCATATATTTCATTTAACTTTAATTTTTCGAATTTAATTACAGAAATTTTAATTTATTCATTTTCTTAAACTAACTAAACAATTTATTAATCTTTAAGATTTTTCGAGATTTCTAAATGATTAAATTCATCTGATTTTTTGGTTAAACTTTCTTTTAGAATTTTGATTTCTTATTCATATTGAGAAATGACTGAATCTTTTTCTGAAAATTTCAATATAAATTTCTTTTCTAAATTTAAGAATTTTTCCTAAAAAGAATTCTACTCCATTTAAAAAATTTCGTTTATATTTTAAATTTTTTATTATAAATTTTTATTTTCCAATTTTAAATTTTTTATTTCTTCATCCAAATTATTTTTCATATTTTTAAATTAAAAAAAACTCACTTCAATCTAACTATTTTTCTCTATTATTAAATCATTCAATTTTTCACTTTCAATTTACAAAAACTCAATCTATTTTATCTATTACGAATTAAATTCTTAATGACATTTATTGATTTTTTACAAATTTTCGTTATTTTCATTATACTCTCTTTTCCTCTCTTCTTCACAAATCTCATTTCTTAATTTTTAATTAGCTAAATCACTATTTAACCTTTCAATTTCATTATTAAAAAAGTCTCTTTATTTTATTTTTTCTTCCAAAAAAGTTTCTATTTCTTAAGATTTAGTCTTAATAATACTTTATAGTGATTAAATTTATTCCAAAAGTTATTAGATTTGATTATCGTGTATTTTTTTAATTATTAAATATCTGAAGTATGTAATAAGGCTAATTTATCCTAAAGATCTTCTATTTCTGATTATTTTTGAATATTATTTTCTAGAATTTTATTTTTGAGTAATTAATTTTCAATCTAAAAACTTTCCATTTCTTTTTCAAAATTTTTTTCTAGTTTTTATTCTACTAAATCAATTAAGAAATCTCATCGTTTTTTAAATTTAATAAATTCTTTATTTTATTTAATTCACTCTCCAAAATATCCAATTCACTCTCATATAATTATTTTAAACTATATAATTAGTCTCCAGTTAAATTTTCGCATTTTCTCTTTACTTTTTCAACTTCATTTCCTTACAAAATCTCTATTTCATGTATTTTTTTCTCATATTATATTTATATTCATTATTTCTTTAATATTCCTTATCTTCCTCAATTATTTTATCTTTTATTTTGTTCTATAATTCGTCAATTTCATATTTCTCTTTCTTTTATCAAATCTCTCATTTTTCTCAATTATTCTTCATATAAACAAATATTCGAAAAATGTTATTTCTTTAATATCTCTATTTAATTTCGGTGTTCTTAATTCATTTTTTATTTAATTTCTTAATTACTATTTTCACTATTTGAACTCATATACTTTTAATATTAATTTTATTTCAAAAACTCATTCTCTTTTAAAATCTTTTAGTTTTCAGATATTATTTATATGATTTAATCATTCTATTTCTTCTCTTTGGATTATTGTAACTCTAATTGTTAATTTGCTTAACATAGGGATATTTCTAAATCATTTATTCGTGATCTTAAAAGTTCAAGTTCTCCTCTTTATAATACCTTTTTTGAAGGAGATAATTGCGATTATTTATTTAAATTCATTTTTTATATTATCAATTTTTGTTTATATTTTTTTTTTTTTTTCAGTTAAAAATAAATATAGTATATTTAAAACAATTATATTTATTTAATTTATTGAATCGTTTTATTGATAAATATATATATATATATATATATATATATATATATATATATATATATATGTATCTTATATTATAAGTAAAAAAAATCAATCATAATAATCCCAAACATTATCTTCCAACCATTATTAATAACATTTATCAAAATCTTAAGGTATTTATATTTCATTCATTATTTTTTACTTCCATTAATATTCATAGAAAATATCAGCTTTAAAATTCTATTTCAAATCCAACTATATTGAAATTTATTATTTTTATTCATCCACTTTCCAATAATGATAACTATTAAAATCTAAATGTATTTTCCTAACCTCATCTTAAGTACAATAATTTTTTAAAATAGATTTTTTATCTTTAATTCCTTCCAATAAATATAGTTATTTTAAAGGTTCTTCAATAAACTCTTAATTTTATTTAATTGATAAGTTTTCATTGAATTTTTCAGGTTTATAATTATTATATGTTTTACAAAACAAATCAGATATAATTTTAAGGAAATTCGCATTATTTTTAAGCATTCTTTTATCAAATAAAAGTATTTACAGTTTAAGAAGTTTATAACAATATTTACTTATTTTTTTATTATCAAAAATATTAGGTAGTTTTTTTAGAATGAACTATATATATATATAATAAATATTATTTATTTTAATTTTCAAAAAGAAATAAAATATACAAATGCTTAATAATCAATCAAATATTAAGTTATTTTTTCTGTAAAATTATTACAAGTTAAAAACATTAATTTCAGTATTTTATAAATAGTATTAATTGTTAATTACTATAAATTAAATTCTGGGTTTATACTTTAAAAAATAAAATATATAATATAAAAAAAAGGAAATATTTTACTATAAAGTAGTCATATCAAATTAAATATTCTAAAATTTTTCTGTAAGAAATTTTAAAAAAACAAGAACTCCATTAGCATCAGTTATAAGTTAAATAAGATAAGAAAACTGCCAAACACAATTACATTTGAATTTTTTAGCTAATACTAATAAAAAACTAGAAATAGCGTTTGCAGTAAAAATTCTATGTCTATCCAATTCATACTTTACACAAAACTTTTAATCTTCATTTAAGTTTTTAGTTTCAACTTCTTATTATAATGATTATTCATCACTTTATTTTAATTCTTTATTTTATTCTACATATTATTTATAGTCATTTAAATAGTTTTTCAAATCTTCATTTTATAACTCAATTTCATCTTTATATTGTAAAAAATGTAAAATTGAACATTCCCATTCTCTATTTAAATCAATGCCCTCTTTTATATATTTAAATAATTTTCTTTATTTTAAATTATATAATTATTTAAAATAATTTTAAATAAAAAAAAAAATACTATTATTTGGGATTATATTTATTATTAGTAGCACAAGTAGTCAATAAAGTTCTTAACATACCTACAACTATAATTTATGCTAAAGGACTATCTGTTGAATTAACTATATTTCTTTAATAAAAAAGCTCAGTTTTGCAAGGGTTTTTAATTAATAATCGGGCTAATCCTTTATCTATTTTCCTAACATTATCTTCTATAAATATATTATCTTCCAGTTTAATTTGAGTATTTTATATATCATTCATTTCTATATTTATATATAAATAAAATAATACAACTATCTTTTTATTGGAACTAAAAATAATTCTATAGAAAGTTAAGTAGCTTTTAATATATATTCTTCAAAAGATTTTTCTGTAAATATATATATAATATATATATATATATATATATTTATATATATATTTATTTATATATCTATTTTTTTAATATTATATATACCTTAAAAATATTATTGTATTTATTCCTATTATATATCTTTATAAGCCATAATTATAATAAATAATGTATTAAGTGAATATTTAAGAGTTATTTCTTAATCAATTATATCATTATAATCTGAATTATCACTTTTTCTATTTCTAATTAATTTTGTTAATTTAAATTTTAATTTTATTTTTTTACTAACTAAAATATATTAGCTTATCAATACATTCTTTAAATATATTATCTATTATTCTTAAACCATCATTTTCATATAATGTTTCTATAAAACTATAATTTTCTATTATATTTCCATTTTAAAAATCTTTTTTTTTTAAAAAAATAATAATAATGAATTATTATAAAAAATCATAAAATTTAAAAAATATTTTTATATAAGTAAATTTTAATTATTTAATATTCATTTTTTTTATTATTTTAATTCTAATTTAAATTAAATAAATAATTTTACTCGAACATAAAGTAAACAATGTAATCATTATATCTTTCTTTAAAATTTGTGAATTTAATTCTAATGTATCTAATAAAATAAACAATTTTTCTTTATCAGATTAACAATGCTAATATAAATCTTAATAAGTAGAAGTAACTTTAACATATTCAATATCAAATTATTCTGAATATGAATAAAAATATTCTTTTAAATACATTCTAAATAAATTAATATTATAAAAGAATAAAAATTAATTTAAATTTTTTTTTTTTTTTAAAAAAAAAAACAAAAAATTAAATAAAAACTAAAGTAAAAATATCAACAAAATACTTTGTTAAAACTAATAATAAAATCAAACTATACATAATACAGTTTAATTATAAAAAAATGTAAAATATAAAAATTTAAATTAAAAGATGTTAAAATAAAATAATTATATGTAATTTTTAAAAGAATCTATAAATGTAAAAAAATTAATTTATATTTTAAATTAATTAAAATACATATAATATATAATATATTTATTATTTTAATGATATTAATCATAATAAATATTAATAATAATTACTATATATAAATAATATTTTTTAAAGTTATTTTATTTTATACATTCTTTTATTAAATATTTAAAATCAAAAATTAATCCTTATAAAAAAAAAATCTTTTAATTAAAAAAAAATCAAATTAATTATAGGATGGATAATTAATTATTAAATTAAATTGAACTCATTATTTAATTTATTTATTAAGAAAAAAATCAAATTTTATGAAATAAGAATAAAACAATAATCATTCATGTTTAAAAAATATAAATATAATTAAAAAATATTACTTGAAATACTTTTACACATTTTTAATTAATATAAACTCCATATATTTAATTAATATAATCATTTATATTATATTTTTTATTTAAAAATATATAGAGTTGAACATTATATAAATCAATTTAATAATAAAAATTTTCCTTCTCCAGTAAAAATTATTATAGTTTTAGCAAAAGCTTAAATCCTTCATTATAAAATCCCATTAATATTAGTCTAATAGATTTCTAGAAATTAAGAACAGTTAAACATACTTTAATCGAAAACTAAAATAATTTTAAAAATATCCTACTTCTTTTATAGGAAGAAAGCTTAAAAAAATAAAAATGTTTCAAAATAATAATTAGAAATATATTTTTGATTAGTAAAAAAAAAAAATAGACTCTAATTTAAATACATAAATATTAACTTAAATTATCTTAATCAAAAAAAAAAAAATACTTAATTATTAAAATATATATATATATAAAAAAAAAATTAAATTAGATATTATTAACACTAATTTTCTAAATTTAAATAATAAATTAAAAACTAATTTTATTAAAATTATAAATATTGATTTGTTTTGAAATATTTTAACAATTTAATAACATTTCAGATTAAAATTAAATAATATTTAATTATATAATAATTTATCTTTTTTAATTTTATTTCAATATAAAATTATATGTTTTCTAATGTCACTAAATAAATTTTAATAAAATAATTTAAAAATTAATTAAAAAAAAATATTTTAAACTAATTATTTTATAAATATGGATATTGAAATTGAAATATAGAAAATTAAAAAAAGATTTATTAGAAAAATATAGAAGTTATAGTTATTTAGAATTTTCATTTGACATAAAAAGCTTATAATAATATGTATTTTTTAATTATTATATATATTAAAAAAAGTTCAAAAAATAATCTTATAAAGATAGAATTATTAGAAAAGGAAGGATTATTTGAAGAAATCGAAGATAACTTTATTTGTTATTTAGATTAATTTAATTAGTTTTATAAACGAGAAGATTTAATTTTGTAATAATCTTAACAAAAGAATTAACTATAAAGTGAATATTCAACAAATTAAATATAAACAATATGTATTTAAAAATCTATAATCGAAAATAACATTAAATTAAAAAAATTATTTTAAATTCTAATAATAGTAAATATCTAATTTTTTTTTTTTTTTAAAAAAAAAATGAAAAATATAATAATAAAAATATAAGATATCTTATAATTATGAATTAAATTTAAATAAATATATAAAAAATGAAAGAATAAAAGATTTTGATGAACTTTTTTTTAATACCTTAATATTATAAGCTAAAAATAATAGAGATTAATAAAAAGAGTAAAAATAAATAAATAAACAAAATAATTTATAATATTTATTTAACTTTAGATTTTAATTAAGATTTAAACAATGCATATTTAATATTTAATTTATAATTTATCTTTATTTCTAATTTAAATATGATCTTTTAGACATACATATACATATTTAAGAGTTATAAAATATGTTATCCTAAACTTAATATAATGTATTTAAAATTTAATATTTAAAATAAAAAAAATAGAATTTAACAACAGTATAAAAAATAGAGGCATAATATGCTCTAAGCTATTTCTATTTTATTAATGAAAATTATTTACAATCAAATATTTACAATTAAGAAATAAAAAATTACTTTAATTTACTTAAGAAAATGATTTAAAAAATATGTTTTTTATATAAGATATATTTAATGGAATGTTACAAATATGCTAAATAAATGAATAAAATATAAAATATATGATTTAAACTTGTGAAGAAGAATCATTAAGTATTGAATAATCTATATAAAATAATAAAAATTTAACACCAAATAATTAAACAATAAACACATTTTCTAATATAGAAGAAGAAGAAGATAAAAACTTAGAAATAATATAATGCCGAAATATAATTTCAAACTATCCTGATGTAGATTTTAATGAGAAGTTTTCACAATTAGAATATTTAAAATAGAAAAAAATTGCCAATTCATTAATGTAATATAGTTTAAGCCATCAAAATAATGCAGAACTAGAAGCAACCTAAGAATTTCATTAATTGATTTGCCAAGATATCGAATAGGATTAAAACTTAATACTGAATTTATTGACAATGAAAATATTTACAGAAGCCCAAAATCCATAATAAGAAAATAACAATATTGAAACCTATGTGAGTATATTTGAAGAAACCATAAATCAATACGGAATGCCTTAAATAAGTAATTTATTCGCATTTTTAATAACTGTGACAAAATCAAATAAAAATGAAGAATATTTTCCGAAAATTTTAGAAACTTTAAATGGAATTCTTTAGTCTTTTTGCTCCAAAAATAAAATAAAATTCGAGTCTTTTGTAGAAAATGTTTAAACTTGTTAAAAAATAATTAATCTTTTTAAAAAAGAATATATAATAGATTGGGACAAGTTTTAAGGTTTATTTGCACTTTTGTGTATGAAAAGTATAATAAATATTAGATATTGCATTATTTTGAAAAAAGATAAGGAGTTTTTTGAAAAGTAAGATATGTTGAGGGAAATTTAATGTATCTGGAGTATTTTTTAAATGCTTTATTTTAAAAAGAAGTATTTTATAGTTTAGATTATTAGTATTTGTAATTATAATTTGCTTTAAATTATCAAGGCTATTATTTTTACTTTCTGGATTAAATTTCTGGTTTAAAAAAGTAAGAAAAAAGGAGGATTATTGGAAGATGAAGAAATTTCGTTTTTGTAAAATGAATTTGATGTTTTTAATTTTACTTAAAGTTACTCTTTAAAATTTGATGATTTCGAAGAGTATTCTTTACTCAATTAAAAAAATTAAAAACTTTTTAAGATTAAGATGAATAAATATTCGAATTTATTTTAAAAAATATATTTACTTAAGAAAAAAGAATTATTAAATAATATATTGGAGATGAGGAATTAAATAATAAATAAGTTTTAGTTGGTAAAAAAGAATAGTCTTTATATAAAAATTATAAAAAATATGCCATTGAAAAAATTAGATTTTATTATTTAAACGGAAATCATTCAAAATGTTTAAAGTATTTTATAAATAAAAAATATAAATTAATATTTTCTTTTTTAGATTATTAATTAATTTGATGAATTAAAATTTTCTTTAAAAATATAAAAATCAAGAAATTTTTATCAAAGAAAATATCAATTAAATTTTAGTCTGCTGCTTTTATCATTTAAAAAGTAACAAAATTTATTTTTATTTTTATTTGTAAATTTAATATATAGATTATTAAGAGTGTTTAATATTTATGTAATTCTTTGAAAATATTGATTATTAAAATTTCTTAATAGTTTTAGATAAAATAAATTATTTTGATTATTTTTATGTCAATTATTTATAAGATATAACTCTAATTAAATAACTTATTAATAAATTTTATAAAGATAAAAAATTAATTAATTTACTTGTTTAAAGGATTTAAAATTAGGAGTGTTATTAAAATTATTCGGAACATAAATAAATTAAAATCTAAACTTAATTAAAAATAAAACTAATAAAAATAATTAAAGATAATTAGTAAATGCTAGAATAAATCAAAATAACAAAATGATATTTATAATATATTTATTTTTTATTATATATAAAAAGATATCATTATTATATTATTAACTTTTATTTAAATATTTTTATTTATAATTTTCTTAATTTGTTTAAACTAATAAATTAAATTTAATATATGAAACATTGTATATATTTATATAAAATTAAAATTATTTATAAAATTCATTCTTAATAAATTTCTTAAATAAACTATTAAATACTTTGTTAAAATTTCTCATTCTTTTCAACCACTTGATTACTTAATTTTGTCGAATGTCCAGTATTTTATTTATTATATTTACTATAGAAATAAGTGTCATAATCAAAAAAGTTTCTATCTTGATTTAATTTTAAGGTAGTATAAAATTTTTATAAATATAATTATTTTTAATTTTCTTCTTATAAAGATAATATTTCTTACAAAACCGTTTAAGGATTAATTTATATGTTTTTAATTTACAATAATTATTCAGAAGATAATTCATAAGGTTTTTTATATCTCGGAGAACTAAGGAAATTTTGCAATTATTAACAAATTTTATTATCCACTTCTTTTTAACTTTTAATCCTATATATTTTCTTCTAATCGATTTCTTTATTTTAAGAATTTAAGCTATTTTATTCTTATTATTCTTAATTTTATCTTGTTTTCATGTTTTTAGAATCTTCCTCATTCAAATTATTTATAGCGGAAAGTAAAAATTATTAATCTATATTTTTTTTGTTATTCCTGAATGTATTTGAAGAATTTTTATAAAATCTTCTCGATGTTAAAGTCCTATCTAATTCTAATTTCGATTCTCCACATATTTTTGGTTTTATTTAATAATTTAATTTAAACATTTAGCTTTTCGATTAATTTAATTGCTTTTATTTAATTTTCTCGAAATCACTTTATTTCAAATCTATGATCTTTAATATTTTTTCTTAAGAAATTGAAGCAATTACTTTTCTTAATGACATGCCTTTCCTATCTATAATGGTTTCTTTAGATATTTTTTAATTATTATTTAGATAATTTTAAGTGTCTAAAATTTATTATTATATGCAAGAATAATATTTTTTTTACATATTTTCTATTGTTTTTGAATTTTATTTTGTTCTAACTTTATTAGAATTATTGTTTTTTATTAATTTTTGTAAATTTAAAGTTTTTTTGAATAACTTCTTATCTAAATTATCTTCTTTTTCATCATTTAGTTAGAAATTACTGAATGTATTTTTATTTAGAGTCTAAAAGTATTCTTCATTTTTTTTTAACATGCTTTATTATTATATCTATTTATTTTTCTCAATTAGAAGTTAAGGAACCTATACTTTGTTTAATCTTACATCTTAATCATTCCATAAAAATAATTCTTTATTTTTTACATCGATTTTAAAACCTTTTTTTGTTTATTCGTTTGCATCATTACAAACTTTATTATAATTGTGTATGTATGTTAAAGGAGATGTAGGTCTTTAATTTTTAACAAAATTTAGCATTTTTTAATTATATATTAATAGTTTTTTAAAAATATATAATTTTATGAATATTTTATTTTATAATAATATATAAAAAAATATATATTTTCAATAAAAATGAGAAATAATGAAATTAAACTACTTTAATAAAAATTTATGCGTTTTTATTTTTTCATAATATATTTATTATAATTATTAAAAATAAAGCATTTTATAATAACTTAAAATATTATTGTAAAATAAATTTATATAAATAATTAGTAAATAATTTAATAAATAAATGCGTAAACATAATATATTTTTTTATCATAAATTTTTAAATATTATATATATATATTTATTATATAAAACACTAAAATATATATATTAAATAATATTTAAAGAAACAATATAATTTGAAAAAAAAATTAATATGATCTTCCAATAAGAACATTAAATTTATATTAATTTTATTTTATTTATTTTGAATATAAAATAAACTATTTTTTTTTAATTTACTCAGTATTATTGAAAATAACATATTTAAAATAATTTAATTAATATTTTTTTACATTTCTAGCAAATTTTTACACTTTATTTTACAACCAATATAATAAAAAATAATATATATTAGTTTTTTTAAAAGTATTAACTTTAGATAATTTATATAAGAATATTATAAACCATCTTTATAATTTTATTTATATTTCATAAAAAATTTAACTAAATATTACAACTTTTATATTTTTTTTATTATAAACAAAAAAAGAATAAAACATTTTTTATAATAATTCTTTTCCCAATCCAATACCTTAACGAGGACTAAATATAGAAAACTAAGTAAAAAATATTTTAAAAAACTTCATCTAAATAAATTATAGCTTCCCTAATAATAATTCTCAATAGAATGTCAGAGGAAACTAATTTTACGTAACTTAATTATATTTTATTCTTTTATATATAATTTAATTTTATTAACAAAATTATGTGTTATGACTTAAATATTAAAAGGATTTTTAATCATTAACTATCTTTAAAACAAATGCTGTTTTACAGATTTAGATCTAAACAATATTTCAGTTTCATTTTTTGATACTCTTCCTTATATACCTTATATAGAAGAAAAATATAGAATATAATTAGTAGTATAAGTTTATTAAAAATCTCAAAAAATTATATTAATATAGTACAATTAGAAGAAAAATAGTTTCCATAAACAATATTTTATTTTGCTATATCTAAAATAAAATTGAATCAAATTTATAAAAGGAATTTAAAGCTTTTATTTTTAATAATTAAATAATCAAACAAAAACATGTTTAAAATATAAAAAAACTAAATATTATTTGTAAAAAATATCAAATAAACTTCTAAAAACAGGAAGGAGAAGAATATTTTTAAGATGATGAATAAATAGAGCAATAATATACTTATTTATAAAAATATAAACCTCAGTATGATTTTTTTTTTTCCGAAAATTATAAAGGAAAGTCTTTATTAACAATTTACAAAAAATAATTTTTGTTTTTATTTTTTTTTTAGAAATTAAAATTATTTGAATTTTAATAAAAATTAAATTATGATATAAAAAATATTTTTTACTAAAACAAAAATGATAATATGAAAAAGTTAATAAATTCGATAAAGGATATCTTAGAAAAATTATAAACCTAAATTTATTTTATCCAAAAAATATTTTCTTTAATTATAAAACAGAAAATATATAAATAAAAATAATTTCTCTTGTTTTAATATTAAAATAAAAAATAAGAAATAATCATATTTATATATATAAAATATTACTTTTTTTTGTAAAACATGATTAATCTTTTATTAAATTTATAATAATAATGATAAAAATATAAATACTTAATATTTTTATATTCATGCTTATAAATAAACTTGAAGTTAGTATATTTAATTAGAAAATCTATATTTTGATTTTTCAGATCAGAATTTATGTTAATCTCCTAAAAAAAATAATGAACTGTTTTTTATTTAAGACTGAGTATTTTATTTAATTTTTCGGAAAATACTAACTTAATAAACTAAAAATAAATTCAATTACAAAAATTAATTAGTTTAAAAAATAAATGCAGTCAAAATTATAAAATTTCAATAATAATCTTATATAAAGCAAATTCATAAAATAGTTAACTTTAATTTTATTAAGTGAATGAAGATATAATTGAAGATATTTTATATTAATATTAATATTAATATTATACTAAAATCTATTCAACATAAAAAGTTTGATTAATTTAATTCTTTATTAAAAAATATTAAACTGGAAGAAGATAATTTAATTTTTAAACTAGTTAATAATACTAAAGATAGAAAATAATTATTTAGATAATATACTTTATAGAAACAATAATTGAAAAAAATTAGATATAAAATAATAATAATTATTTAAATTATAAAATAAATAATAATTTATATTAAATTCAATTTATAATTTAAATAAATTGTAAATAAACTCTTATTTCTAACTTTTTAAAATATAAATAAATTAGATAAAATTTATTTAAGATATTTGAATTAAATTAAAATGTAAATAAGTTAAAAAAAATATTATGAAATTAAACATTAAAAATAAAATAATAATTAAAATATAAAACACTGAATAAAAAATATTCTAAACATATTAACTCGATAATTAAATAAATAATTTAAATATAGATTTTTTTTTTTTCATAAATATATATATATATATATATATATATATTTATATATATATATAATTTATTCATTTAATATATTTTATTTTTTATGATTATATGATTTTTATTTTAATATTATATTTTTTATTTTGAAAAAATATTTTAATATATCACTATAAAATATATATAAATTTTATCTTTTTATTATACTATATTTCTTTATTGTTTATTTTAAAATTATATACTTTTTTTATCATTAATAAAAATAGTAATAGATAATTAATTAATTTATTTTTTAATAATAAACAGATTTATCATTTATTGTTATTAATTTGCTAAATATTATAAAAATAAAATATAATTTTTTAAAGAGTCTACTATTAATATGTGAAAATTATTATAATAAATAATTATAAAAAGAATTAATTATATATATTTAATTCAGAAACAGTCATTTCAAAAAGTCATTATAAAATTTTTCTTTATAATTATATAAATTTTATTTTATAAAATAAATCAATATGAATATTAACAAATTTTTATTCGAAAATCAATTTTAATTTTTTACAGAAAGAATTACATATTTAGATTAAAAACTTTCTAATTTAAAATACAAAGGACTTAAATGGAGTCATTTAAATAAACGAAAAGATATAGTATCTGAATGGATAAAAAACAAAATATATATATTCGAAAATTACGAATAAGTAGGAATCGACTTTTATAAAACTTTATCTACAAAAAACTAATTATAAGCTGGCTAAATATTAAAGCAATTTGAAATATTTCCAAAAGCAATTTTTAAATATTAATTTTATTATAATTTTGCTTTATTATTTTCTAAGTATTCCGAATATAAATAATTACTTCTTTTATGTTACATAGATTATATATTAAAAGGTGGATTTAATAATATAGAGAAATACATGCCTGTATATCAATTATAATTTACAGGATAATAATAATATGAAAGTTTATTCGCTTTATAATTTACAAAAAGCAAGTTTATTGTATTTCTTGTAACTATAGTCTAAATTCCTAGAATATAAAAGGAATAATTAATGAAACTTGAATATTAATAAAGTATTCTTTTTCTCGATGTAATTTCTGATAAATAATTCGAGAAAATATAATAATAAAAATAAGTTAAAGAGCATTATTTACATACTATTTTAAAAGAATACTCAAACGAACTTGCATATGCTATAGACCATAAAAGCATTGATATTTTACAAACTAACAAAAATGAAGATAATGATTAATCGAGTTTATATTCAAAATAAAATGATGAAGTGGATTAAAAAGTTAAAAATAATTTCGAAGAACATTTTTTAACATTAGAAGAGTGTAAAAATATCGATAATGTATTTACCAAAAACCCTAAAAAATTTATCCCAAATATATACTTGACCAAAATATTAGAAGAAGAAGAAAAAAAAAATTACGTTTTAATTAACAAAAGATGGATTTGTAAAGACGTAAATTTAAATAAAAAACTAAAAGAATTGCGAAAATATAATTTAGAACTAAGCGAATCTACTGTTGAGGAAATTCTTGCAAACCTATAAGATGCTGATAGGCTTATTAAAATGTTATAAAATATGAAAAATATAAATATCGATATTACACCTGAATAACTTAATGTTATTGGATAATCTGGAAATGTAGTCTGTTTAGGAAGATCAGGGACTGGAAAAACAACATGCGCAGTATTAAGAATGTTTGCTTTAAATACAATTTTTAGGTATAAAATGGCTATTAAAATGAAAAAATAAACCCAGAGTTTATAAATTGAGGACTTAATAGAAAATGTGGGAGGACTAAGAACTATATTCGTTACCGCATCCCCAGTTTTGACTTATGAGATAAAAAAACACTATGATGGATTGATTAAGAAGTTAAAAGATGAATTAAAAGATAGATATGAGAAAAATGATTTCGAAAAAATTATGGAAAATTAAAATAATTATAATATTAATGAAATTGTAGAGTTCGAATAATTTGATAATTTAAAATCTATGAAACCTTATGATTTCCCTTCTTTTATGACTATTAGAAATCTCATTATGATTATCGATGGGTCTTTAAAATTTCCTTTTTTCTAAAGAAATTTACAAGGAAGATTAAAAGGGTAGACTGTATAGAATAGTTGGCATAATGAATTAAAAGGAACTTTATATATTAATAATTAATTTAAATAAGGAAGAGAAAATAATGAATAATAAAATAATTAAAATTTAGATAATAATATTTTTAGAGATGATGATGAAAGCTCTAATGATTCTCAAGATGGAGATATAAAATATGGAAATTATGAAATTTATTTAAAAAATTAATTAGATAAAGTATTTGCTAAAGAAAATAAGAAAAAATAAGGAATAGTAAACGATAAATTAAAATAAACCTCGAAATATGCTTAAATGGCCTTCGAAGTTGATTTTGAATATTTTAAAAGGTATTTCTGGAAAAAAGTTTAAAATAAAGTTATTGGAATAAAATATTTTGATGCCTCTTTTGTTTGGACTTAAATTTATTCTCATATTAAAGGAAGCAAAGATGCTCACTTAAAAAATAATGCGATTCTAAAAAAGGTTTACGCTGAAGAAAATCCACATCTTTCACAAAAATAAGTTGATATTTTGTATGATATTCTCTATGAATATGAGTAGTGGAAAGCCAAAGAAGGTTGTTATGATTTTATGGATGTTATTAATTTTATTATTGCTAGAGTTAAAGCTGAAAATGTAAATAATCTTTAAAAACTACATTATATTTTTGTTGATGAAGTATAGGATTTACCTTCTAATATTTTACTTTTATTAAAACTAGTATCTTCTCATGGACTATTTTATTCAGGAGATACTGCTTAAACTATTACCTAAGGCGTAGGATTTAGGTGTGGAACATTATAAAGTATTTTTAGTGATGAAGGAAGATATTGGCAGAATCTTAGTGTTAAACAATTAACTAATAATTTTAGAACTCATAGACAAATTCTTACTCTAGCAAATTCTATTATCGATATTTTAGAATTTTTCTTTTCCTCCACTATAGATAGATTAAGGAAAGAATAATCTCCTAAAGAAGGACCTATTCCACTAATAATAGGAAGTGAAGATTTAGAAGCATTATTTTGGGCTTTAACTGGAGAAGAGAAAAGTGAGAGAAGTAATATAGAATTTGGTTGTAATTAAGTTGTTTTAGTTAGAAATTAGGAAGCTAAAAAGCGATTACCTGCTTAATTATAACATGCTTTGTGTCTAACTATTTATGAATCTAAAGGACTAGAATTCGATGATGTTATTATTTTTGATTTCTTTACTGATTCTGATGTAATTGATTAATATGGAATTTTAAGGTAAATTGAATTTCAAAATGAAGTAGTAGATGAAAAAATACATGAAGAAAAAAAATAAGAATTAAATTTAAAAAGAGTCAATTTTATGTAAGAAATGTAAGACTAAAGAAGATAAATTTTACTTGAAGAATGGAAAGACCAAGTAGAACTAAAAAAAATATAATTTATATATGATTTAGATGAGCGTAAAAATATGTATTAAAAACTAAACTAAAATTCCTAATAAAGATAAGAGAAATTATAAAAGATAACCTAGGCAGAATCTGATATTTAAAGCGACGCATTTTACGGAATAAAGAAACCTGATAATAAATTTGAAATAATAAAGCTTATATAAAATAATAAATATAAATCATCTGATAATAATAAAGACTTTGCAGGTTTATGTATAGAATTAAAAGCTTTATATGTAGCAATAACTAGAGCAAAATAAAGATTAATAATATATGACTCCAGTCAAAAAAATAGAGAAACAATAGAGAATTTTTGGCTAAAATTAAATGCTGTTGAATTATTTAACGGTTCTTCACTATAGGAAAAATTTGTTTAAAAAAGTGAATTAAAAGATTGGGAAGAATAAGGCAATTAGATGTTAAGAAATGGTTACTTTGAGTAAGCTATTATGTGTTTTAAGAAATGCGGAAATGATGAATTATATTAAAAAGCATTTAATTTACGACTTGCTTAATAAGCAAAAGAAGAAATGGAAGATGTTCGAAGAGAAGAAATTTATTTAGAACAGGGAATTATGGAATACTCACATTATTCTAAAAAGGAATAAAAAAGCGCCTAACGATAATTTGAAATGCGTAAAAAATAAGCCCGATAATAATTTGAAATTATAGGTGATTATTTTATGAACATTAAAAAATACGAGCAAGCTGCCAAATGCTATTTTTCAAGTTAAAACTTTTCAAAGGCAGCCTAAGCATATGAATTTTCTGGAAATTTAAAAAGTACAGCGGAATGTTTTTATATATTAAAGAATTATGAAAAAGCAGCAGAAATATTTTTATAAATAGGAGATTTTATAAGAGCCATAGAATGTTATGATAATACATAATAATGGCAGAAAATATTAGAGATAACGTTCTCTAATAGATAATTTTTATCAAGAAAATAAAACTAAGCTCTTATTAAAAGATACGCTAATTTAGGTATAGAAGAATTAGTAAATGAAGTAAGAGATGAATTAGAAAATAATGAAATAATTTAAGAAATTGAAGATATTTCTGTAAGTTAGGTAAAATAAACTATTTTAAATTTTACAACTGAAAAAAGTAAACATGAAAATACTGATTTTATTGAAAATATTAATTTTGATAGTTAAATAAGTGAAAATTAAAATTCTATATAAAATATTTAATCTAATAAGCATGAAAATACTTCTTTTATAGAAAATATTACTTTTGATAATGATATTAAATAACAATCAGAAATTTAAGAAGAAGAAAATGAGGATTAAAATGAAGATCAAGATAAAGATCAAGATCAAGACGAAGATGAAGATGGAGATTAAAACGAAGATTCAAATGAAGATGAAGAAGAATAATAAAATGATAATAATGAAAATAAAAGTGAAGAAGAATAAATAAATGAAGATAATAATATGAAAAAAAGCGAAAATATAATATAAGAAAATAGCGATTATTCAATTAATGATCTTTCTTTTGAATTTGTTTAATAATGTTATTAAAATTTTGATCATTTAAGTAATTTTGATCCCGAAGATGAATGGTTAATAAATAGTAAATAAAATAATAATATAGCTTTATAAATAAATAAAAGTAGAAGTTAATAAAGTGACTAATATTCTGAATACTCTTTTGTTTTGAAAGAAAATTAAGAATAAAATTAAAGTATCTAACATTTATCAAAAAATAAATAATAAATTAAAACTCGAGCAAATATAAAAATTAATGATAAACTAATGATTAAAATTATTAAATATTTAATAAACTTTAACCCTGATTTTTAAAAAATAATAGAGTTATATGAAGATAATATAAGTAAAATTCATATGAATTTCGTTACATAAATACTTGATTTTTTAGAAAGTTATAATATATTTAGATTATGTATATATATTTGTAATTAATATGGTTTAGGATAGAAAACAGGATATTATATAATGAGTATAGTTTAGAAATTTTCTCCTTATTCGACAGAAACAAGAATTTTATCATATTAATTAATTTCTGATGTCTCTTTATAAAGGAAATGTCATGAGAAGAATATTATTGCTTGTATTGCCTTATCTAATATTCTAGAAATAATTGATCCTTAATATTTATAATTCAGAAATAAAGATATATCAGATAATTAAGATAATTCATTCCCTATTTCTGTTTATAGGGGATTATTATCTTTAGGATTATGGAAGAAAATACTATTTTTGCTTAATTATGATTCAGCACTTGCCCTTTCTTATTATTTTGGAGATTTCTTTAATTATAAAGTTATTTTCTTAACAAAATCTATTAAATATTAAAATAAAATAGCTTAAATTTAATCTATTTCTAATGATAATGATAGGCCTACATTTTAGTGTTTACCTTTTTCTAATTTTCCAGAAGATATTTATGATATTAATTTTGCAATTGTTTGTCTTGAAAATGTTAATAAGTTCTAATTTTTAAATCCGAACGAAAGTGTTTGCAAATATCCTTCATATTTTGAATATTCATAACTTATATGGAATAAATAAAACTTTTAAGAAGATTCTTTCTGGAATATTTTTTCTTAAGGATGTGAAATGTACAATTTTAGCAAATTAAAATAAACTAATGATACCATCAGAATATATGATTTCTATACATCTTATACTTATTTATTATTATTAACTGAATAATTTAAAAATATTTAAGATTTATTAATATAGAAATAATCAAATTAACAATTTGTATAATTTCTAAATGTAATTTTGCAAATATTATAAAATGGAATCTCATTTAATAACTTAAAAAATATACACAAAAATAATAATATAATAATTTTAAAGGCAATCTTAGCTTCATTTGATATCCGTTTACCCCCAAATAATCCTATCTTAAGTAATTTTGGTACTTTAAGAGTTTGCATAGATAAAGATAATTCTCAAATAATAGATTATTTATTGAAAAATAATCTTTAAAATAAGTGTTATTTCATAGATTTAGACATATAGAAATTATCAGTTCATATAATAGATATCCTTCCTTATATATAAGACAAATTATATAATATTATTGGATAAATAACTAAACTTAAAATAGTAAAAAATATTTAATAAGTATCTTTATCTGAATCATCAACTTCATATTATAATTTAATTATAAGCAAAATTCAAAAAAAATAGATTATATATTAAAAAAGAACGAGAATGGTTATTATTACACCAAATTAAAAAGAAAAGAAAATCACTAAATAAAACCAGAATACAAAAAATATAAAAAGACAAATCCTTTATACAAATATCACAAAAACGAATATTTATAAAAATAAAAAAATTCTTTAATATAAAAAGAAAGCCAATAAGATGGAGAAATGGTTTAATTTTTGGAATACTAAAAAACTTTTAAAGCTAAAAATCATTCTTCTTAAAAAAGAATATCAAATAACTACCTTTAAACTTCAAAAAAGAAATTGTTTTAAACTTTAGTTAGTTTATTAAATAAAAAAAATCAATTAGTATTTTTCGAAAAAGAATTCTTATTAAAATTGGGTTTTAAATTTTTAAACCAAATAGTCTAAACGGAAAGTAAAAAAATTAAAAACTATGAAAAATCCATTCTCATTTTCTAAAAACTTAACTATTAAGAATACATATAATATGCTTTTTATAAAGATAAGAAGTTGGATATTAATTTAATAAATAATTAATATAAAAATACAAATAATATACTGTAAAATATCCAAAACTAAATATTATTTTTCGAAAAATATTTTCTTTCACTCAAAACAAAATATGTATTTACCAAAATAGAAAATTCGATTATTTAATTGCTTCTTTTTTACTAAAACTAAATTAACAAATCCTAAATATATATACCTAATGATTTCTTATATTATCTATAACATAATTAAACCTAAATAATATTTTAAACATTAAAAAAGGACTAGAAAAAATAAATAGATTAAAGTTTAAATACAATAGTGGATTTGTTAAATTTTATATTTAAAATAGATGAATAGTATTTGAATTAAAATGCATTTTTATGTAAAAAATTACTTAAAATTGTTATTTTTGTGCTTTTGAATATTGAATAAGTAAATACTTAGTTAGAAGATTTACTTTTTTAATTAATTGATTTAATAGATTGGAACTTATTTGCAAACGAATATAATGAAAATTGTGAAATTCCTTATTATTGGTAAAATCTGTTAGATTTGAAAAATTTTAATAATCTAGGAGAAATAAAAAACTGGATTTTAGAAAATGATAATTAATTTAATTAATATGAGATTTTATTCGAGGAATAAATAATATAGGAAAATGGAACTTTCTATCTATAAAAATTAGTTTAAAAAATAAACGCAGCAAAAATAATATAAAAATTTTTCAGAAAATAAAAATAAAATTTCAATAAATAAAATTCTAGACTTTCTAATAATTTCAATTAATTATTAATGGTTTCCTTTTCTCGAAATTTCAATAATAATCTTATATAAGCAAATTTATAAAATAGTTAACTTTTTGAATTTTATTAAGTGAATGAAGGTTTCATTGAAGATATTTTATATTAATATTATTCTAAAGTTTATTCAGATTAACAAGATTATCATTATTTGATGGATTTATTAGAATAATAACACAAAAAATTTGATGAATTTGATTCTTTATTAAAAAATATTAAACTGGAAGGAGATAACTCCAAAATTAATAATTCCATTTTTAAACTAGTTAATGATACTAAAAATAAAAAAAGTCATCTAGTTGAGTGGGGAATAATGAAAGATAATTAAATTAAAGACAATATCATACATAATGATGTTTTATTATAAAGTAAAATGAAAATTGCTATTAAATGGTCCAGATTAGGTATGTAATAATAAGCATAATAAATTATCAGAGATTTTGATTTTGATTTAAAAAATAAAGAAGTTGAAAAAATAAAAACTAATATTTAAAATGAAAAGGTTTAAATAGGAAACAAATTAAAAGCAAATTAGAATTATATATATATAAATGATAAAATATAATAAAAAAAAAAAAAATAATAATAATAATAAATTATTATTGATAAAAAAAATAAAAGAGCTTAAAGAAAATATAGATATTTAAATTACAAATGATAATTTTTAAATATTAATATTTATTAATTTTCTATTTTATTTAATTTTATTTAAGTATCCTTATAAAATAAATTTAATCCTTTTTATAATAATTCTTTTATAACAAAATTATTTATTAAAATATATTTTAATTATTATATTTCAACTTTAAAATTCATCACAAAATAAAAAAAAAATATATATAAAAAAATGAATTTTAACTAAACTTATTTTAATTCTTAAATATAATATTTCAAATAAACATTTAACTAATTAAAAGAGAGATTATATCTAAATCAAAACTAATTAATAAAATATATCCTTTAAAATTATATTCAAAAAACCAAACTTAAATAACCTCGAAAATCTAAACAAATATAAATCAAAGATTTAAAAATAACGGCCTAATAAGTACTATAACAATATGAAATATTTCCCAAAATAGTATTTAATTGCTATTTCTAAAGCGATATATAAATAAAAATTTTAAAATCAACTGAATAATAATAACTATTAATTTTTTCTTATATAAATTTTATAATAAAAGGCAATTTTAATAATATTGAAAAATATCTTACTGTACATCCTATAATATTCCGAGGTTAATAAGAATTTGAAATGTTATTTGCAGTAAAGTTTCATAAAATAAAATACTTAGTTTTTATGTTAACAGTAGAATAAATTCCTATAATATAAGATAAATAAATAATAAAATTAGATTATAAATAATGCATTGTATTTATGGATATTATATCAGAAATAGACTTTGAGAATATCTAAAAATAATAACTTTCAAAAGACTATTATTTAGACTCTATATTTTATCAATATTAAATTAAATTTTAATTCTAAATAAATCATAAATAAGATTGCAAACTCAAAGAATTTCCGAAAAGAAATAAATTAAAAAAAAACCTTTTATTTTATTAAAAAATAAATGAAGATAATAATTTCATAATAGAAAATAATTTCTCCAAAAGCACTTTATAATTATCCAAATTTAATAAACACGAAAACATATTCAATTAAAATTTTAAAAAATTTCACTTAAACTATTTCTAAACTAAAATCTTAACTGAAGATGAAAAACGAAATTATTTTTTCTCATAAAAAACTTAAAAATGGGAATTAATAAAAGACCAAGAAAATATTATTATTTAAAAAAGAATACAAAACCCACACCAAACAAATGACAAAATAAACAAAATATTAACCAATTTACACGATGTGGCAAATATAGTTAAACTTTTATAAAGCTTTACAAATCTAAATATTAAATTGACTCCTGAATAATTAGATGTAATCAGTTCTGCTGGAAATATATTATGTTTTGGAAGATCCGGTACTGGGAAAACAACATGTTCTATATTAAGGATGTTTGCATTGAATATTTTATTTAAATATAGAATGTCTAGAAGTATTAAAGAAGAAAATCCTAAAATGAAAATTAAAGACTTAATCAATAATAATGTGACTAGTTTAAGATCTATTTTTGTAACTGCATCTCCTGTTTTAAGACATGAAATAAAAAAACATTATGAGAATCTACTAAATAAACTATAATAAGAATTTGTACAAAAATAACAATCAAAAAATAATAAAGACGAGCTCTAGAAAATAATTAACATTTCATCTTAAAACGAAAAAGTTTTGGAAATAGAAAATGACTGTAAATTATTTAATTGTCTAAAATAAATGATGCCTTAACATTTTCCGACTTTCCTTACTATTAGATAGCTTATTATGATTATAGATGGATCAGTTTAAATTCCTTTTTTAAAAGAAATTTTTAAGGACAAATTAAAGGATAATAAGGATCAAATACCTGGCATAATGAAAGAAGCGGAACTATGTATATTAATGATATTTATAAATAAAATGACAATTAATAATAATAAAATACATCTAATAAAAATTATAATGATATTTTTGAAAATATAAAGTGTTTATCTTCAGATGAGGAAAATTACGAATAAGAAGATTTTTAAAATGCCTTTTTTGTATAAAGTAAAGAATACCTTTAATATAAATTACAGAAAACATTAAAGTATTAATCAAAGATGAAAAAAAAAGGGCCTATAATAAATAATGAAAAATAAAAAATGTCCTATGAAGTTGACTTTGAATATTTTAAGAGATTTTTTTGGAAAAAAGTTCAAAATAAAGTTATAAACTAAAAACATTTCGATGTTTCTTTCGTTTGGACTTAAATCTATTCTTATATTAAAGGAGATAAGCTTTCTTACTTAAAATAAAATTTTATATTAACTTAATAAGAATATAAATATTAGAATACCTATTTAAATGATAGATAAGTCCAGATTTTATATGAAATACTTTAGGAATATGAAAAATGGAAAAAAAATGAAAATTGTTACGATTTAATGGATATAGTTAATTATTTATTAAAATAATTATTATATTAATAGAGTAATTTATAAAAATTACATTATATTTTTGTTGACGAAGTATAAGATCTTCCCTAAAACATAATTTTATTATTAAAGCTTGTATCTTCTCATGGATTATTTTATTCAGGTGATACTGCATAAACTATTACTTAAGGAGTTAGTTTCAGAACTGGTACACTATAAAGTATTGTTTTTTAAGAAAAGCTTAATTAGAATAATGTGAATGTAAAACAATTAAACATTAATTTTAGAACTCATAGACAAATTCTTACTCTAGCAAATTCTATTATCGATATTTTAGAATTTTTCTTTTCCTCCACTATAGATAGATTAAGGAAAGAATAATCTCCTAAAGAAGGACCTATTCCACTAATAATAGGAAGTGAAGATTTAGAAGCATTATTTTGGGCTTTAACTGGAGAAGAGAAAAGTGAGAGAAGTAATATAGAATTTGGTTGTAATTAAGTTGTTTTAGTTAGAAATTAGGAAGCTAAAAAGCGATTACCTGCTTAATTATAACATGCTTTGTGTCTAACTATTTATGAATCTAAAGGACTAGAATTCGATGATGTTATTATTTTTGATTTCTTTACTGATTCTGATGTAATTGATTAATATGGGATTTTAAGATAATTAAAATTCAGTTCTAATATTATTGACGTCGATGAACATGAGAGAATTCTAAACGAAAAGAATTAATAAAGATTAATTGCTTTAGAATAAATTAGAAATGAAAGAAATGAAATTATAAAATAAGAATATGAAGATTAAGAATAACTTAAAAAACTAAAATCAGAGAAAGAATAATATTCATACGAAAATTATATGGATAATTGGAATGCCAAGCATATGATTATTAGCTTAAATTAATTAAAAATAGAAGAAATTTAAACTCGTTCGACTAATAGATAAAATAGGCTATAAAAATTAGCCTAATTAGACAGTGAGATTAAAAGTGACTCCTTTTATGGAATAAAGCTTCCTAATTCTCAAAAAATCGAGTTAGTAAATATGGAATTGGATACAAATTAATTATCCTAATATAAATCATCTTTAAACAGTAAAGATTTCGCTGGTTTATGTATTGAATTAAAAGCTTTATATGTATCCATAACTAGAGCTAAAAAAAGGATTTTAATATACGACCAAAAACCTAAAAACCGATAAGCAATCGAATCTTTTTGGCTAAAACTTAAAGCTGTTGAAATGTTTAAAGGAACTAATTTTGTAGAAAAATTCCTTTAAAAAACTAGTAAAGAAAATTGGCTAAAACAAGGCGAAAAAATGCTTTAAAACGGGTTTTTTGAATAGGCATTTCTATGTTTTAGTAAAAGTGGTAATGAAGAATTTTTAGAAAAAGCCTAAAATTTATATTTAGCTTAATAAGTAAAAGAAGAACTTGAAGAAATTTAAAGAGAAGAAAATTATTTATAATAAGGAATTATGGAATATTCAAATATATCAAAAAAAGACCAACTTAAAATCTAATAAGAATTAGAAATAAAGAAAAAAAAAGCCTAAAAAACCTTTGAATAAATAGGAGAATATTTCCTAAAAGTTAAAAAATATGAAGAAGCTGCGAAATGTTTTTTTAGCAGTTAAAATTATTTAAAAGCAGCAGAATCTTACTTATTGTCTGGAAATTTAAAAAGCTCAGCAGAAAGTTTTTATATTTCTGAAAATTACCAAAAAGCGGCAGAACTTTTTATTCAAATTAAAGAGCCTTTAAGAGCAATTGAATGTTTAGATAATATTGAATAATGGCATTAAATTCTTGAAGTCGTTATTTAATTTAGGTCTCTTTTGCCTAATAAATAAATTCATGGGATTATTAAAAGATACGCTACGTTAGTTTTGGAAGATCTAGTTAAAGAAGCTTAAGAACAAGATTATTAAGAAAATAATTCTAAATATTAGCAAATTTTGGAATTTAATGATGATATATCTTTTATAGAAAATAAAAATAATAATCAATTAAAAGAATAATCTGATTAAATAATTGAAGTTAATGAAGATGAATAAGAAGATATTGATTAAAATAAAACAGATGAAAAAAAAAAAAAAAATTAAGAAGACCATAATAATAATAATTAATATTATGAAGTTGAAGACAATATCAATTATAATTAATAAAATAATGAAAAATAAGATAAAAAAGAGGAAAAATCAAATAAAAATTAAAACTCTTCTAATAAAATAGATGAATTATCATTTGATTTTATATAATAATGTCAATAGGATTTCGATCATCTAACAAACTTTGATCCTGATGACGAATGGTTAATATTAAAAAAATAACAATCTAATATTTCAATTATCCTCAATTAATCAATGAAAGACTAAACCAATATAACAGATATCTCCTTTACATTAGTAAACGAATAAGAAGAAGAAAACTAATAATAAGATAATTAACAACAAGGAATAAATTAACTGGAAGAAAATAAATAATAAATACTCCAATAAAAAGACTTAATTTAAAAAATTCATTAAATAAAAACGCGCCCAAATATAAAAATAACTGATAAATAAATGCTAAAAATAATAAATTATATAAATTCAATAAACTAAACTAATAAGTACTTAACAGAAATAAAATCAGAGGAAAATTTATCAAATATAAATTAAAAAAATATAATTTTTATACTTTGAACTTTAGAAAAATTTGAGGTTTTTCGTTTATGTATATATATATGTAATAAATACGATCTTTCATAAAAAACAGGAAATTATATAATGAGTTTGGCTTTTAAATTTTCACCAAATTCGACTTAATCAAGAAACCTGAATGATTCTTTATTTGACTATTATAATAAATAATACGTTAAAAAGCAATAAAATTTAAGTATTTTGGCTTCTATTGCTTTATCTAATATTCTAGAAATTATACATCCGTAATACTTGTAATTTAGATATTAAAACATTCCTGAAAATAATTACAATTCGTTTCCTTTTTATGTCTATAGGGGATTATTGTCCTTAGGATTATGGAAAAAAATACTTCTTTTATTAAATTATGAAAGTGCACTTGCACTTACTAATTATTTCGGGGATTTTTTTAACCATAAGTTGATTTTTTTAACTAAATCAGATAAATATATGAACAAAATTGCACAAATATAAGCTGTTTAAAATGAAGGAAATAATATTATTTTGCCTTCTTTTAAGTCTTTGCCTTTTCTGAATATTCCTGAAGATGAATATGATATAAATTACAGTATTTTATGTTTAGATCACATAAATGAATATCTAAGAAAAAAACCAGAATCAATCTAAAATTTAAAATTTCCCTCTTTTTTTGAATTAACACATTTATTTTGGGACTAATAAAATGAATTTTTAACATCTAGCATTTTTTGGGAAAAAGCATCTTCCTCCTTTAAAAAATATTAAAATTTAGAAAAAATAAAAGAAAATAAATTAAAAAACTATGATTTTTATTCTTTTTATTTTCATTTAATTATTGAATTAGAAAAAAATGAGCTTTTAAGGAATTAATTAATAAAGAGTTTAAAAAATTAATCTTTTTTAGACTTCTTAAATATAGGACAAAATATAATTTAAAATCTATTTAAAATATAAACTTTTTCTAAACAAAATAATAAAAATATTATCCTTTAGGCTTTATTATCTTCTTTTGGAATTCGTTCTTTCTCTTTTTTATAAAAAAATTAAATTTTATTAAATTTTGGTTATTATAGAGTTTGTGTATCAAAAGATAATAAAATAATAGATTTCATATATTAAAATAAATATTTTTTTAAACAAAATAAATGCTTTGTTTTAGACCTAGATTGCTAATTTATTTCTATTCCATTAAAAGCTGCCATTTAATATATTTTTTATACCCTCTATAAGACTTTGGGTAAACTAATTAAACTCAAAATTAAAAATAATATTCCTTCTTTTCTTAAAGACAGTTTTCAATCTATTTTTAATCTAATTTTTATTTAAATACAAAAATAATTGGACATATCTTTTTCAAAACTAATAATTAATGAAAGCTAAGAGCTTTTTAAAATTAATTATTATTAAAATTTAAAAGGCGAAAATATATAAAATGAATATAAATAATATTCCAAAAATAATCCATTATATAAACTCCACAAAACACAATTTTACCATAAAGCCCTTACATATAAACAAGAAATAAACCAAATAACAAATGAAGATGAAGATATATCATATTACGTACATTTAGTGAGTAAATTCTACGGAAAATATAAACAAAAAGACGCCTTAAAAATAAAAAAATAATTCATTAAAATTACTAAAAAGTTTCTTTTTACAACCCTATATATTCTCCAAAACCATAACCATGAAATAATTACTCTTTAAGAAAATTTACAAATAAGAAATTGTTTATTAAACACGGCTTTTAAATTATTAAAAAAAGAAGCCTATTCTCCTTTGAAATAACTCAAAAATTACGAAAAAGCTTTCCTTATTTTAAAATTTTTAAATTATTAAGAATATATTGAATTTATATTTTTATAATCGAAAAAAAAACTAATATTTTTAAAATAAAATCTCTCTTTTTTTCTCTCTTAATATCGAAATTTCCAAAAACCTATTTCTTCTTCCAAAAGCCTTATTTAAATTCTCGATATATATGCTAAAGATCTTAAAAGTTAATATATTTTCTTAAAGATTATAAATTCAATTATTTAATGTATCCTTTCTTATTCTTTTTTAAAAAATAATTTATCTATATTTTTACCTGAAGAATATACTTTTTTCCTTTAATAAGTTGAAAATAATTCTATTAATTCTTACATAGAAATAGTAAAAGATGAAAATGAAGAAGACCATTTGAATATAATATCTGAATTATTATATTATATACAAAAAATATAAGAAACATAAGATTTTTCTTATAGAAAAGATTATTTTTATAACAAATTTTTAAATCTAATCAAATTCATATATATAAATATAGAATATCCCAATAAAAAACTATAAACCGAATTAGAAAAAATGCAAATATAAATAAACCAAAATCTTTTTATAGAAAAAAATTTAAACAAACATGAATATTGGGAACAAATTTTAAAATCGGAAAACTTTTTAGATAAAAAACTTGTTTTTTAAAAAAACAATCTTTTAAAAAAATATAATGTTGTTTATAGTAAATTAAATGATTAAAATAATAATAATTATTTACCGATTTTTGTTAAAAAAATAAACTCGGCGAAAATAATTTAACGATTTTTCAAAAAAAAAGGATTTCTTTAATTAACTAATAAAATAACTTATGCTAAAATTTCATTTCTATATACACCCTTATGTATTTAGGAAACTTTAATTAATAATTATTATATGCGAACAAGAAAAATAAGGACCTTTTTTATTTCTATGAATTACATGTAAATTATATAGAAGATATCTTAGCTTAATATTATAGTTAAGTCTGTTAAAATGCAGAAGACTATCATTATTTAATGGATTAATTAGAATAATAACATAACAGATTTGAAGAATATAATTAAATTTTGGGCAAAATCAACTAAGAGAATGAAATATAAATAGTATAATAAATAACAAAATAAGTTTATGAATAGAATTAAAACAAAAATTAATTATAAAAATGGATTGATTAAAAAAATAAAGTAAAAAATAAAAAATTGAATGATGAAAATGATATAATTTTGTAAAGTAAAATAAAAATAGCAATTAAATGGGCAAAACTAGGACTTTTGTAAGAAGCTATTTAAAAGAAAAATAATATTAATTTGAATTTATAAGAAAAAGAAGTTAAACTAACTAAAGTTGAAAATTAAATTATAAAAAAATAAACAAAAAAAAATTAAAAATATACATGAATTAATTAATAAATATAAAAAAAAGAATTTTAAAACTTAAAAAAAATATTTAATAATCTTTTTAAAAATAATACAATTTTAAATATATAATAAAAAATTATATGATATTATATATAAATATATTTATATATATATTTATATATATATATATTATTACAATTTTTATAATATATTTATCAAATTTTTTTTATTTTTTATTTTTCTTATTTTATTTTTATTCCTTTTTTATTTATTTTGATACTTAACCAATATTAATTTATTTTCCTTTTTTTTTAAAAAAATGAATAATTTCGCATTAAACATTGATATAATCAAAGGGATTAATTTAAGTAATAATATTCCGGATGCTTTATTTAGCTATATAGTAACTTAATTATTTTAGATTAAAAATAGTAATATTAAAAATTTAAAATACAAAGATAGATTAAATAATATTATTTACGAAAAATTAAAATAATGATTTTAATGTTTCCAAATTTATTGAAGTAATAAAATTATTAATTTTTTTTTATTAAAATAAATTAATAATAATCATTTTTTAATCGAAAAATTTAAAGATCTGTTAAATAGAATAATCTTTTCTAAATGAAATAGAGATTAAATAATTACTGGACTCATTAGTTAATATGACAAGGTTTAGCAATTTAAAATAATAATAAATTATTGTAAAAATATTTAATATAAATAATAATATTGTATAAAAAGGTTTGGTGCTAAAAAAGGATTAACAGGAAAAACATATAAACGTTTTTAAAAGAAAATACTTTATTAGATATATAAAAATAAGATATTTTAGTTAAGAGTTATAATGAATAAATAAGTGTATTTAAAAAATATAAAAAATATTAATAAAAAAAAAAGTAATTAAGCATTATAAAAATGATCACTTTAGGGAAGTTAATTGATATTAAATGGAATGTATGCTCTTTTATTGAAGATTAAAAGAACAAAAACTAAAATAAATTATTTATTTAATTATTCTTGAAAATATAAAAAAATTAAGGAGATATATAAGAAGAATAATTCACATTGTCGATATAATAATTTAAAGTAAAAAAAAAATATTTTATTTTTTTTAAATAAAATTTTTATAAAAATTTAGGCATTCAAAGATGTAATTTAAGAAATAAATGAAGTAAGTCAATCATATAAAAATAATAATAATAATAATAATAATAATTAATAAAAATAATAATAATATTAATAATGATAATAATTAATGATTTAATAATAATTAAATAAATATTATAAAATTATTTATCAATTAATATTAAATATATTTTTATAATCTCTCATTTTTTTATGTTTTATAAATCTTTTTTATTAATTTTATTGAAAATTGATTATTAAATATTTTTTTTTATTTATTTTATAGATTTATCTTATATTGCATTTTTTATTTTCTCATTACTTAATAAATATTTTTTTTTTACGTTTTATTTAATTAATATCGATTAATTCTACATACATTTTTTTTATTTTTCTTATTAAAATATAAAGCAATTATTATATGTATTACCAATAGTTTATAATGATTTTATTTAATTATAATTTTTTACTTTTTTCATTTTTTATTTTTTCAAAGTTTCTTTTTTATTTTTTAAATTACTTAAAGACCTACTTGTGTTAATTGCAGTTGTTTTACAAAAATAATTACTATTACTTAAATTTATTTTATTATTTTTCTATATTAATTATTAATAACTTTTTAATTAGGATTAATTTCTATATGAATTAATTTGTAAATTTTTATCATTTTTACTATTTTAATTTTTAAATTAAGATATACTAGATAAAAGAACATTACTTTTTTATTTTTAATACGATTATTAAAAAAAGTAATTATTATTTTTAAAAAATTATTAATGAAGTTCTTTTTATTTTTCTAATATAGTTTTTTACTTTTAATTGTTATTATTATAAAAAAGCTTATTTTTAAAATTTATTAAGTTTATTTAATTACTTGAATTTTTTTTCTAATTGTCTTCGTTAATTTTTTTATTATCTTTACTTTATGATTATTGTTATTATTATTATTATTTTTATTTTTTTCTGAAAAATTAATATAATTTTATTTTAATCTAAAAATTATTTTGAATTTTTTAATTTGTTTTTCTAATAATATATTAATATTTGTTTATTTAAATTTACTTGTTTTTTAAGCTTTTTATAATAAATTGTTCAATTTTTCATTCTAAAAATTTTTTAAATCCATAAAGCTTTTAATATTTAAAATATTTTATTTTTTTTATTTATATTCTTTATTGTTTTTAGATTAAATTTTATTTTATATACTACTATCCGAAAAACAATTTTTATTTTATTTTCTTTTCTAATTTTAATCATTTAAGTTATAAATAGCTATATCTTTTAAAGAATTTGTTGATGATATTTGACTACTAATTTATGTATTTTAATTCTTAGGAAAACAATAATTTTAATTTGTTTAAGAATTAGTAAATTTATACTCAATATCTTATTTAAATTATATAAACCATTTTGATTACTAATATTTTTAATTTATAGAATTTTAATCCATATCGTTTTTTGACATTTATATTATTTTTTGATTTGTAGTGATTTCTTTTTATTTTTCTTTTAAAAATTTAGCTGATGTACTTTATGATTATTTTGACTTTTGATTTTTTTTATTTTAAATATTTTTTATCATTTTTATTATTGATATTACTTTATGTTTTAAAATATATAATATTTTCAGTTTTATATAGTTTGTATATTTTTTACTTGAAAATAAATGAAATATACGTTTATTTATTTCAAACAAAAATAAAAATAAAAAATTAAAATATATATGATTTCATTAATTATATACAAATATTTCCAATAATAATATAAAATAAAAATATAATTTTTTATTAAAATATTTTACTAATAAATAAAAAGAAAGTAACATAAAATATATAATACACAAAGTAATATTCATATTAAATAATAATGTATAGCTATTTTTATTTATTTTCTTAATAATAAATTAAATATATAAATTAATTTTTTTATATATTTATGTTTATATTATTTTTTAATAGTAAATTCTTATCATTATATTTATTTATTTTTTCCGAAAAACTTGGGCATCTATGATTAATTTGATCTTCTAATTATTCCCAATGTTCAACTTTTTCATCATAAATAATATTATTTTTTTCTTTTTCTTTCAAACCAAAATCAATAATCCAACTATTTTTTCTAGCTTCTTTTTTATAAATCAAATTAGCTGATTTAATAGTAATTCTTTGATTGATTTTACGTAAAAATATCATTATTTTTCTTTAGTATTTATATCCGTTTATTAAAATAGTTTATAAATACTCCAATAACTAGATAGTTTATACATTTTTTTTAATATTTAATTCTTTTTAAAAATTTTCTCTTTTAATAGATTGTTAAATATCACTAATATTTGTTTCATGATTATTTTCTAAAAATTCCATTAAATTATTATAATTTTCAGCATTTATAAAATTATTATAATAATATTCAATAAAATAAAATTCTACGAAATTCAAAATAAACTTAATCAAATTTAAAAAGTAAACTATATTATAAATTATAAAAAGTTCATTCAAATTTTCTGATATTATTTCAAAATAATATTTTATTTTTTTAATTTAATTTATTATATATTCTAAAAACCTATTTATATTTTAACAAAAGCCTATTCATATTTTTTATTTTTTGTATAAACTTAAAAACAAATATGTAAAACAGTTATAAATTTAATTAGGACTTCAATAGTATTTTAAATCTAAATATTTATTTTTTTGATTCTAATGATTATATAAAAAAATAAAAATAATAATAATATTAATAATATCTTTAGGAAAAAAAGTAGCATTTATATAATTAAAATTTTTAAAAAGATCATAAAATAAATTATTATAAATCATTATTACACATTATTATATTTAAAAAAATATAAAATCAGAAAAAATAGAAAATTTAGAAAATAAAGGAAATATTTTTATGATATAAAAATATAGATAGAATTTAACAAAAAATATTATTTAAAATATATATATATATATATATATATATATATATTTATATTTATATATATTAAATTAAAAAACAAATTTAATTAATATAAAATAAGATAATATAAATTAAATATTAATAAAGATAATAAGTTAAATAATAATTAAAAAAATTTTATAAGTATATATATAAATGTAGGATTAAATATATATAATTATTTTAAATATAATAATAATATATATTAACAATACTTAGTATATTATTTTAATAATAAAAAAATTATATTTTTTTTTACATTTATATATAATTAATATTAAAAAAAAAAAATAATTATAATAAATTAAATGTATAAAGAAATATAAAGATTATATTTATTATTTATTTTAATATTAAAATATTATTAATAACTTTTAAAAATATAAAAAAACTTCGTTTAATATAAAATTAAATATTTTAATAAATAAAGGAAAAATTTAATTAAAATAATATTAATTTTTAAAAAAAAATACTACAAAATTTTAAATAATAATTTAAAAAATTATATATATATATATAAATAATATTGCTTGCTAATGCATCCATAAATAAACTTTTATTAATATTTATAACAAAAGAATTAGACATAATAAGAAGAGAGTATCCAAAACTTCAAGTAAATAAGAGGCATATGCAAAGATGTTAATTAATTATAAATCTCTAACGTAGATAGTTAAGATAATTACACTTTAACAACAGAAGCTAGTATTTCTTAATTAGAATTTAAAACTTATTTTACATAGCCATCATATACAGATTTTAATATATCTAAAAGATTAGATATGGCAAATAATAATAATAATAACCTTTTTGTATTTGATGATTAAATATCAAATAATAGTAGTGTTTTTTCATAACAAAGTTATTAATAATAATATAACAACGAAAGGTAATAAACACCAAAATTTTTAGCAAAAGCAGAAGTGACTTAAATAAATG